TTATTACAAATCCATGACTAGAAAACCACTCGCCCGTCGAACAGAATAGACTTCTGCTGACAAAAAAATATCTATAAAACATAAAAATAATCATAAATCAAAATTCCCTGTCATTAGTTTTGATTTTTCTTGTTTTTTTTTTGTGTTTGTTTATTTCTTTTATTAATTAATTTAAGTGTGTTGTTTTTGCTATTGCGTATGGGGGGAGGACAGTAAATGGGGGCTTGAGGCGGAGTTAATTGATATTTAAATTGTATACATATCATAGATTTATTTCGATTCCGAACCAATTACCAATTTATCATTAAGCTTGTTAGTTTCTCTCACAATTTCGTCGTCGTTCTTTATATAATTTATTGAATAAGTTAAACAGAATTTCATTAAAAATCCGCTAAATATGTTAGGAGATAAACGGGATACCCCAAAACGCGTTGGATGATGTTTTTATCTGGAGATGCTGGCTGGCTGTTGTTGTTGTCGCTGCAGTTTCTAGTACTCGGTGGCACCAATAACGCTGTACATGAGACGATTGAAGGAGCCGCTCTGGCGTATGTTCTCATCGTGAGTGTTTACCACCTGTCCAGGGAGAGACACAGATAAAGGATATAGCCAAAATATAAACCAACAAAAACATTCGAATCAACTCACATTGTACGGCGGACGGGATACTGGGGCTGATACCGGTTTCTGTAAATGCATTCAGGAGAGGAATTGTAAAGAGATATGCATAAGATATATTGTAGAAGTGATCTGTACATATAAGTATGTATGTATCATTGAAATTCCACTAGTTTCAGTGCAAAAAGTATTTGTAAAATGCAATTCTCGAACTGTTATGAGCGTCTGTTAAGTGTTAATCGGATGTTAGACTGCATATATGCAAATATGCAAGTGATTGGCGAGTGATTTGGAAAATATACACAGATATGGGGTTAATGGATGTGGTCGTAGCATATCGATCGATCAAAAACCAAGTTAGTAGCTACTTTCGGCTTAGTTAGTGGTCATTACATTACATTACAGAGCGCTTAACATTGGGCTAACATTCACTGTGGTTCAACTCTGCATGAGAGAGACGACGGTACATTAACAGAGCCAAAGAGAGAGACAGACAGCGAGAACAATAAAGGATTATAGAGATAGGGGATAGAGAGACTTTTGTACAGATGAGAGGGAGAGCTAGAGAATCGAGTGTATCGAGTGCGATCTTTGTCTGATAAGTATAAGTACTGAGTAAAAGTTTCTTCTTCAGTATAGAGAGAGAGAGAGAGAGAGTGCCACATGAGATTGTGTGTCGGTTGATACTAGTAGAATTTGTTCGAACGATTCGGTTGCTCACGATCTTACCTTTCCTGGAACCAATCTATTCGGCTGATAGACCCTAGTCTGCACAGGTATGGTTACCTCCTGCGGCGAGGCATGGCCATAGTTGCCGCTGTAGCCGCCGTCTTCTTGAATGGCTCTGTAGGTCTCGCTGTTCCTTGGATCGTATTGGACAGTTTTCTTATAACTGTATACGGGATTCGGTAATTGGTAATTGGTAATTCGGTATTTGGGATTTTTTGATTTTTGCATTTGATTGATTTTTGAGATCGTTGAAAGCGCCGTTACGGTACGGTTGCCATTTAAGTTATTTCAAGTTATTTTTAATTTTGATTTGTTTGGTTAATCGAAAACAGATTCACAGATTTGAACAGATTTTGGTTTTATTTTTGGTTTGGTTTGGTTTTGGTTTTGGTTTTTTTTTTTTTATTTTTTACATCGGTTGAGTAGCGTGAGAGAGAGAGTAGTGAGAGAGAGAATAGAAAGAGAAAACAGGATGTGCACAAAATACGTTAGAATTATTTTGTTTTTTGTTTGTTTTTGTTGTAATTGTAGTTTTGTTGTTGTTCGAGGATTCGGCAGGACACATACATATGTGCGTTGTCTCAAACATCATTTAATTAATAGGAAACTCATTAACAAATTCCTTACGAGCTAGTGTTTAAAATGTAATCGAACAGAACTGCATAACAAAAATCGCATATAACTATATTCAGATCAGTTATCATTTTGGATGAGTCGAAGCCTTAAACTGCGGCTTACGGATTAGTTTTTTTGTTTTTTTGGGGGGGTTAGCATTAGATCACGGTTAATACTGGGATGGGCTGGGCTGGGCTGGGCTGTGGTTGGGGTTGCATGTGGGGTGTTTTTTTTTTGAGTGGATGCATAGATGCATAGGAACTTTCAGTGCCTGTTTTCTGCGAAACAGTTTACATTAAAATGTAATTTAATTTTAAGAATAAATTCAGCAAACGTCTTTTAACTTTTTGATTAGTCTTAGAAGAAGGAAGGGTGGAACGGGTTCGTGGGTGTGGGCAGGGAGGGGGGCAGGGTTTTATTTTCGGCTACTATATTTCTTTGATCATTTATTTTGTTGATAGAGTATCTGCAGTTGGTGCTGTCGCTGTTGACGTTGTTGCTCTGCGAGTTGTTCTTTTTGCTTTTGTTGCTCCAGGATAATACGTTTTTGTTCCAGGAAAGATAGATCGATGAAAATTCTAACATTAATCGTGCAGCTAAGTTCTAGATAATACAGGATCTAATTGCTATTAAGCCTAGGGGCTATAGATACTACATATATCTGTATATTGGTATATTGTATATATTTGGGTACTGTTAGGGTTCTGTTAGGCAGGTTGTTGCTCATATAATTCACATCAATTGTTCTATATGTTTATTATGGGTACACAGGGTACACACCTTTCCTACCAAAAGAAACACTTGCCACGCCACCTTTTGAATCGAATCCTACCTAGATTCCCAAATTCCTAGGGGTAAAGAACTCCTCCGTGAATGTGGTACGAGTATATACAAGGTAAGTGCTCCAAACAAACACAGACTCAGTTCATTCGGAGTTTTTGTTTTGCCTGTGCAACAGAAGGAGGAAGCAGAAGTACATACAAGACGTGGATGAACATTTACGAGGACTAGTATACGGGGAATATACATATACTATATATAGACAGCAGAGCACATGCAATTTGTGTGTTTGGTTTGTTGTTTCTGTTGTTCTGTTCTACTGGGATAGGCACAGATAGATATTGTATCTGGTTTTATATAGGTTGCAGTTGCAGTTGCACTTTTTTCTTGGTTGCGGGAGACAACAATCAATCAATCAATCAATCAATCAATCAGTCAATCATCTGTGGGGGTTATAGTTTGCTGTACAGACAGGCGGGAGATAACAACGGGTAAAACACGGGCGGGGTGGAGGGGGTAAACATTCTTCAATATTCAATATACAGTATTCAATATCTCAAAGTCAAGATCAAGTTCTTCAAAGAAATGGAAATCAGGCTGTGTGCTCAAGAAATGAATTTACTTTTACCCGTTCAGTTTTGTTGGCAAAGGACGATGCAAAGGACTGTCCTTCAAGCGATAGCTATCGCTTGTGGCGAAGCTACAACAATATACATAGAATATATATATTTATATATGTGTATATATGGAGACGATAGGCATAGATAGAGCTAGTACATACAACAACATCGATGGACTGGTGTGTGTGTGTGTGTGTGTCTTTCTCGTGTGTTCTTTTATTATTATTTTTAATTTTTGCGTTTTGTTTTTAGTAAATTTTGTTCATTGATTTTGGAGGCTTTTTGGCTTTTTGGCTTTATTGGTTAGTAGTTTAATGGCTGCAACTTAACTAAGAATCATAATCGGGTACATGGACTAGTCGTTCACCGACTAGTCGTGGCTCGCTTTATTAGTCGCTCAAGCTATTCGAGTGGCGGTTCTGGAATTCTCTCTCTCGCAAAAATTAAAAGCTGCATCAAAATTTCGAAAAACAACGTTCTACGCAATAATTTATTCCAAAAACTTTCAAGAGAATAAAATTATAGAAAATATATAGATGAAAATGTACGTTCAATTTGTTGACAAAGCGTTATCCAAAAATTCAGATCAGATCAGTTATATTAGTGTTTGGTTTTCTTGTATCGAACTCTAAGCATAAAAGTGGTTTTTTCTTTTCTTTTGTGATTCCAATTCTGTAAAATTTCTTGTGGGTGGCAACTTACGGAACTGTGGTTCTGATGGTGTCCTCAATGTTGCTGTTGGAGTAGAGGCCGATGGGCGAGTTGAATTGCTTGTGGAAGACCTGCCAACGGAAGAGGGAAATGGAATCACAATCAAAACGGGTTGCGGGTGTGGGGGTTTGCAATGCTTACACGGCCAGTGTCGGCTTCCGAACCAACAACCTTGTGCAACATGGTATCGGCGACGCGTTGCTTCATGATACTGTCATGGTAGTCGTGTCCTGGATGGGCGCGCACAGCCGGATTGGGATAGTGCCTCAAGTAGGAGTCTGTCGAGGGGGCATCCTTTTTCACCTTGGCACCGGGCAGGACCAAGGGAGTTGTACGGTAGGGCTGCAAATCGCAAACAAACACACACAATTAATGGCTTTGTTTATGCCCAAAAACAAAAAAAACCATTTGGCAGCAGCAGTTCTCACAAATACGAGTAATAATATAAATAAATCACAAAACGATTATGGGATGCGGAATCGGAATCGAAACATTTTCTAGCTGTGTTTTTCCTATGAAATCTTCTCTCAGTGTGTTGGATAGATAAATAGATAGATAGATAAATATATGGATGGGTGTGTGCGTGTTGTATAAACTTTATTTACCAAAATTCCATTTTATGTACGATCTTGAGCGCCCGTTTATATACTTTAAAAATATCCCAACCGCCAAGGCGAATATTTTTAGGCGCTTACGTAAGCGTTTTCTTTGCCAGCGGCCAGCTAGGCAGGCAGCGTCCAGCAATTTGTGTTTTGTGTGTGTTCGGCCGTTCTGCTGCTGGCCCGAGCGAACGTTTTATTTTTACCACGTAAGTAATTCAATCGCAGCAAAAGCAGTTCAAAAACTGCAACAAAGCGCGCCTTATCGATTAATCCCAGTGCAGCCCTGTGACATGGGTTGAACAGCTGTTCTAATTTCGCTGTGAATGTCAAAACACTTTGCGCGCTCTTTTTCTAACGTAGTTGATCATTTTTCACATCTTTTCACACATTTTAAACCATAAACTAGAAAATAAGCATTGCTTTGCGCTAGTTAATCAGAGCCACTAACAGCACGCAAAAACCGCGCTAAGCATGGCCGCCGTACGACGCTCCACGCGTTTAAGCAGCATCAGCAAATCGACGGCAGCGGCGCCGTTGCCGACGTCACGACGCTCTGAGATTTGGCGGAGGCGACAGACCAAAGCCGCAGAAGACAGCGAAGACGAGGACCGCGATGATATCATTAGTGTAGTTTCAGAGAATAACGAAAACAGCAACCTGTTGAATAAAATGGAACGGACGGCGCGTCGCAGGACGGCCCCCCCGAATGTGATCCAAGAAGAGCCAAAGACGCCACGCAGCAGCAGCAAAAGGTCGGGGGCCAAGGCGGCCAGTCTGGCCCGGCGCGTGCAGGCCAACGAAGAGGCAGTATTAACCTTTAACATAAGCAGCAGCGACGAAGAGGAGCAGCAGGATGCCCATTCCCATGTCTCGCCACCGAAGCAGCGGAAGCTGAAGCCGCTGCCGCAGCACTTGATAAGTCCCTCGCGACTGTTGGATAGACTGAGCATAGATGAACGCCAGGAGCCAGAGCACAAGACTGAGAAAAAGCAACAGGAGGAGGAGGAGCCAGAGCCAGAGCCTGCAGCTGCACCCTCGCCTCCTCGCAACAAATACCAAAATGCCAGACGCGTGCTGAACAGCGCAGAGACCCAGAATCTGCCGGGGCGCGAGGCGCAACTCCAAGAGCTGCGCGAATACTTCACCAGCCACCTGGAGAGCCAGTCATCGGGCAGCTTGTATGTGTCGGGCCAGCCGGGCACAGGCAAAACAGCCTGTCTATCGCTGCTGCTGCGCGATCCGGAGTTCTCGAAGCGTCTGCAACGTGTCTACATCAACTGCACCAGCATTGCCAGCGTGGGGGCCGTCTACAAGAAGCTCTGCGCCGAGCTGCAGCTGAAGCCAGCGGGTCGGACCGAACGTGACCACCTGGAGGCCATACAGCGGCACCTGCGCACCGCCAAGCGCATGCTGCTGCTGGTGCTCGATGAGATCGACCAGCTGTGCACGACCAGACAGGCCGTGCTGTACACGATCTTCGAGTGGCCCGCCCTGCCGGGTGCCAGAATTCTCCTGGTTGGCATTGCCAACAGTTTGGATCTCACAGATCGGACGCTGACGCGTCTGAACGCGCGCTGCGAGCTCAAGCCCCAGTTGATGCACTTCCCCTCGTACACCAAGCAGCAGATCGTGGAGATTTTCAAGTCACGGCTGGCCGAGGCGGACGTGCTGGATGTCTTTCCCCCGGTCACGCTGCAGCTGCTGGCGGCCAAGGTGAGTGCAGTCAGTGGGGATGTGCGACGCGCCCTGGACATTGGCAGGCGAGTGGTGGAGATAGCCGAGCAGCAGAAACGGGACGGCGAGCGCGAGTTCAACCTGAAGGCCTTGGAATTGGCGGATGGCCAGGAGAAGGAGGAGCCCAAAGAGGGTAAGATCAATGGAGATCAATGGATCTACTTCGTACGAGAACTAACACTTTGGCTGACATTTCAGACATCCTGAAGCCCGTTCAGGTCACCCAAGTGGCTGCCGTGTTGAACAAGGTCTATGGAGCTTCGCAAAATCTCGAGGAGGACATTGAGGCTGCCTTTCCGCTGCAGCAGAAGCTGATGCTGTGCAGTCTGGTGCTCATGCTGCGCAACGAGCGCAACAAGGACATTAGCATGGGTCGCCTGCACGAGGTCTATCGCAGGGTGTGCTCCAAACGGAACATTCTGGCCCTGGATCAGGCCGAGTTCACTGGCACCGTGGATCTGGTGGAGACGCGGGGCATTCTGCGCCTTATGCGCAAAAAGGAGCCCCGCCTGAGCAAGGTAATGCTGCAGTGGGACGAGGAGGAAGTGCATGCGGCGCTCAGTGACAAGCAGCTGATCGCTTCGATCTTGAACGACACCGCCTGCCTGAGCAGGTGACGCGGTGAGCGCGCAATACTGACGATGAGGATGATTACCTACTAATACCACCCACCTACCCACCTACAGCACCGAAAATTAGTTTGCTAAACAATTTCTTTAGTTAATTGCGCATTTCTCACATTCTCATTTCACCTTGGGGACGCGACTGCGACTGCGACGACATAGAATTTTGAGAATACATACATACATACATACAATACAAAAATACACACTTTGACGCTAAATTTAAAATTTGTGGCTGTGGCGCAAGCAGCACTCAGAATATTTTGAAATATCATTTGAGGGTCACTCTCGCGACTTTGGCTTTTAATTGAATCGAATCGAATCGCATCGAATCTTTATGTTTTTCTGTCGTAAATTTAAGTAAATCTTTTGTGTTGACGAAGAAGCTCTGTAGGTTTATTTTGTATTCATTTCCTGTTAGATCCCATAAGCATATAAGAATAAATAAGTTTTGCACCATCCACCAAAAGTGAAAACAATTCTTCACTTTCGCTGCCCACCATTTGCTGTGATCGTGCCAAAAATGAAAAGTACCACCGAACGGAGGTACCCTTTCCTTGGCCACATTAGCGCTAATGTTTTCTACCATACCGAAATGAAATTAATTTATAATCATTTTGTTTATTATTTTCGCCTGCCTGGCTGGCTGTGTGTTCCGTTCTCTGCGCTCTAAAAATATCCCAGTTTTTATTTTTTGGGATGGTATGAATTACATTGAGAACGGAACGGAGCGGAGAACGGAAAGAGCGCAATGAAAAATATGCTTAGCAGAATGTTCGAGTATTCAGAATCTGTCTGTTGCCTTTCAGCAGCATATTGACGAAAGGCGAACAAATGTTTGACTAATAAGCTATATACACGGAGTACCCATTCAGAGCGAAGAGATAGAGATAGAGAGAGGCCCTAGAAATATACAATATATGTGTACATACGAGTATATACCTATATGCTGCTGTTGCATATATACTATGGGGTGACTGCTTCTTCTTGCTTATAATTATATATTTTCCTGGCCCCCCAGGGGTGGGGCGAAATTAAAATGAAAAACCACAAGAAAGTACATATTTACTCGTATACTCGTAGTATGTATGGCCACAGTCGGTGGATGGGTTTGGCATTTGTATTTGAACTTGAATTCCAAGCACAAATGTTTGACGGTAAAGGTGAAATGAAATTTTTCAGCTGGATGGATACATAGGCATCTTCTAGCCAGTTGGAATATGTCTAGCAGACTTTGTTTATTTGCTTTAATTAAGAAAGAGTATCGGTGGAAAGATAAAAATTTCCTTTGCTAAGAAAGGGATAAATAAATACTGTGTGTACCAGTATGCAGACGGGTTGATATTAGCTATTCAGATTTAACCAGATTTCTACTACTCATGAAGTCTTTTTACTCAGGTTTAGCGGTACCTATGGCTGAATATATTCGTACCATTCTTTCATTTGATTCTGGATTCTATTAGCAAATAATTTCTAGAATTTTCGTATTATTTGTTATACATTTGTTCAGTTCATATTTCGATTATCTCTTAGCCGAATTCAGAGCTATTTTCTCACATAATTTGTAACATAATTCACTTCGATTTTGGCTTACTTGATATTGAATGCACTCATTGAGGTCTGGCTGCTCCTTGTAGTAGACTGGGGATCCATTTTTGAACTGAACGTACTCCATGTTTATTTTTGTGTGTGTGAGTGTGTTTTTTATTCAATTTAAACTCCTTTAATTTGGAAACGAGAACGAGAAATATTATAGCCAGCAACAATTACGTAAGGGTGGATCGATCACGTCAGACAGAGTAGAGTTCTTTCTTGGACCACAAAAGTGTCCACAATCTGATGGGTTTTTTTTTTTTTTTTTTTTTTTTGTATTTTATTGTAACTTGCTTTTTCGTCACGTTTAAATCAAAACGCTGCAACTGGTGGGTTCTTCACGGAGGACTACACAGGATCTGTGGATACTATTCGCTCGAGTCTTATTGTTGTTTATTTTTCAATATTCCGAACGCAACTGATTTGAAGATTTTCAAATGCTGGCGAATTATTGCTATTCCGACTGCGCGGAATTCCAATTTTCGTATATCTATATAGATATACAGATATGTATGTATGTAGATGCTCTGAGCAGCAGCGACGGTCTTATGTATACACGTATTGGTTGGAGAGGGTGTCCATGTGTCTGTCTATCCGTATGGGCCACACAAACATAAATATATTTTAGAGCTTGATGGTCAGAGGCCGCCCACAGGCCACAGGTTTCCTTTCAGTGTGTGAGTGTTTCGAGTGTGAGAGAGGAATATACAAAATATTGTATGCATGTTTTTATTGTTGTACAGAGCGTAACAACAGCACATAGTACACGTATAAACTTGGACTTGGACATCGGCGGTGGCATCGAGAGGCGTTCCACCCACCCACGCGACATTCATATAGAAACCATCAACGGATCCCACCCTCCCAGATCTCCTCAGATATTTATATGTATATACTCGTATGCAGATTTGGTTGTTTGTCCTGGCCCAATGAGTATTATTCAGATATAACCATCTCGTATATATAATTTAATTGCTGCCGTTTTGTGGAGCACAAATTCAGTGATACAATTCTTTTGCTCATTTTCGTATCGAGAGCGAGGTTATTGTTTCGCCCGAATGCAGAATCGCTAAAAGTTAGATGAGAAATTTCATGTCGCGAATTTTCACAGCACAGCCCCAAACATTATTGATGTGTTCAGTTTTGTTTTAGCTGATGCGCTGTGACACTGAAGAAGCATTGGAAGTGCGGGCCAGCCCCTGCCCGCAAATTAGTCAACGATTTGTGACAGTTCCAAAGATGAGGAGGATGGCTATTGCCATTGGCATTCTCTGCTTATCCCAAGCCCCATGGCTGTCAGAACCAATTGGCATTGGAACAGGGCATTGAGCAGAGCATTTGATGTGCCTTCGATAGACAGCCAGCAGCCCCCAAAACAGGTGTAATTAGCCTTCAAAGGCAGACAAACACACAAACACCTAAAGGTTTCAAGTTCGTTGGAACATCCAAACAGCTCGCAAGTTACATGGAAATATGTTTCGTATTTTTCCCTCCACTGTGAAGGTTGCAGTTATTTTTTATTTAAAAAGAAAATGCTGCAATAAATATTGTTTTTAATGAGTTCTTAAGTCGGTCTATGGCTATACCAAAGCGAAAATAAGAAAACAAACAAGAGACAGGCAAGTATTCACCATTAATTAATTCAAACAAGGTACAATAACCTCTTCATGGATAAATAACTCTATAAATAAATGGAACGAGCTGAAAACTCATTTAACACGATCCACCTTTGAGGTCAACTGCTCTGGAATCCTCAAACTAATGACAAATCATATCACAGATCATCAAAAACATACGACTGACTATATGTATGATGGGATGGGATGTGCCTATGAAAGCACCTTGACTATTATTTTTGGTGCTGCATTGGCCAAGAAATTCGGCGACCTTGGAATGTTTCTTGATTCATTAGCCGCGTCAACGCCCCCACTAAGGGGACTTAGACAGGTGTGTGTGTGTGTGTGTGTGTGGGGGGGGGGGTGGTTGGGCAGGCACTTTCTTTCATTGGCATTGCCAGAGCACATCACAAGGTGGCCTGGCCCCCTCGTGGACAGGCATGGATCAAGAGCAGGCCCAAGCCCCACCCTCTCACCTGTAGGTGGGAGCTGTGGGACGACTGCAAGGTGCTCGAAAATAGCTCAAACAATGTTTTTCTTGTTTATTTGCGTCTTTGGCTTTTTGGCATTATCCGATTAGTAGATTGGGGGCGAGAGCAAGAGCAAGAGCACCTCTTCTACATTGTGGCTGTATCTGTAGCTGTATCCGAATCTGTTTTCGCTTCTGTTTTCATCTGATTTGATTTCTCGCCAATTTCCACCTGCGTACTGCGTCACTTGGGGCCTCCTACTCTTCCTGTTTAACGCCTCCTCTCTGATTCCTATAGCCGGCCTCACCTCTCCCTCTCTGGGTCTATTTTTGGCGGATGTAAAATCAGCCCAGCCTTGACCACCCAACATTTCTATCCTCTGATGTCAGCGTTACAGACAGACAGAGAGCGAGAGAGAGAGAGAGAGAGAGTGATAGATCCGTATTAGCGCCAGCCCCAAACCCCAATGAAATTATTTACAAACAACAAAAGTATTTTGATTTAGTCGATGCCGTGTCCACAACGCAGTTGTGGCTACTCTGAAAATCGTAGGGATTCCTACAACAATTTGGCTGTAAATATTTCCCAATATGTTTCGATCTACTGTGCATTATCTTTAGTTATATTTAAATATTCATGACATAATATGCAATGCAAAAAGCCTAATTGAATTTCCCTTCCTTAAGCTGTAAGAGAGGAATACGTGTGGGCGCGGCAAATATTTTTGAACAAAATAAAACGGCTGGACATGTAACTCTACATCGGTTTTACATGTATTCTACTCCAAAATACAAGGAATTTCACAGCTGTGAGCTAGTGACTGTATGCAAATTATTCTCGCGTAGAAATCGTGTAAATAAAATGCTATTACCTATCAGTTTCTGATCAATTATGATTTGGAACAACAAAAATCAGTGTATTCAAAGAGAAGTCAAGAGAACGCATCCCAAAATCTAGAATAGCGGAAGATTTTAACGGTCTACTAGTTGCGTTTGTCGTCGACAGTGTCTCTGTCCCAAATGTAGTCAATGTAGATGTCATGTAGCAGAGTGTATGGGAATAAAATACATACGTAAATAAATATTTATTACTTTTTGTTTTGGTTTAAATTCACTTCTAATTAAAACGAGTTAGCTGGGCAGCGGTGGAAAGAAAGCGATGATATGCGGCGCAGAAAGAAGAAGCGTTGTGGTTACACGATGGCCAGCAGGAAAGAACACGACCCAGAGAGAAAACGGAGCAAACCAGGGCTCTGGCTGAAACTTTCTCCTTGAGTTATTTCACAACTGGCAGCCCATACGAGTCTATTTCTATCTGAGAACCTATGTGACATCATAAAACATTAGAAAGCAGTTTGCAATATGGAAACTTCCAGGGGGGACTATCTAAGACTATTCATTTAAATCTCCAGCAGAGAGTCACACTGTAAACTCTGCCCAGGATTTTTTAAATAAAATGTGGAATCAGTTATTTGAGATGAAGATAGTACATAGTATATATATGTACATATATATCGAATCCTTATTCTTATTTCAGAACACGCTTAGAAAAGCGGATAAATGGAATTCGATATGGATTATTTGAGGATTAAGCATACATGTGGCACCCATTGCTATCCCTCTTAAGGGTATTCCCTTTATTCATTGCCTTGATTGCCGCAAATTCCACTCACCTGATTAACAATGGCGGCCTGCTCCTCCTCCACATCCTGCTGATGGTCGCGCGTTGGCTTGGGCGAAAAGACTTCCGACGGAGTCACATAGCCACCGGATGCGTTTAGCTGGGGAAACACAGTGTGTGGCAAGGAGTCCACTGGGAGCTGCAGGGCCCGCTCCAGATGGCTGGGTCCGGGCAGAAATGGCGATGGACCGCGATGGGGCAGCAGTTCCGGGCTGGCCGGCGGCAAAGTGGAGTTGCTGCGCGAACCAGGGCCAGCTGCCTCCTGGCTAACGCCCTGCGTGTAGGCGATTTTGTTGTCCCTGAGAAGAGGCAAGAGCAGCGTCATTTAAGGGTGCGTGGAGTGGATGCTCCTCTCACCTGTGCACGACCAGTCGGATCTCATTGCCAGCACCGCGGAACAGCTGTTGGGCGTCCGCGTGACTCAGGTCGCGTGCATCGTACTCGCCGATCTTGGCGATGATGTCGCCGCGCAGCAGTTCCCCCTGCGAGGGGCTGCCAGCTTGCACCTGCAACAGAGAAGGAGGAGGAAGGTCATTCCTGATCTACACCCTTGACATAGATAGATATGCCATATACATAATTATATGTATGTCTATATGTATGAGCAGATGCAGACACAATTATGATCGTGTTTACATTGTTTTTAGATGGGTCGGGGACTGACTCTGAGACTGAGAGGCCGTCTATTTTGTTGCGCCTCAATTAGTTTTACTGGCGTCGCGTTTTGGCAGCGTTGCAACGTCGAATGGCGGATCTCTCGCTGTGCCAGTTTCGACCATTTCGCTATTTTGATTTGTTGTGGTTTGCTTGGGCACTGCGCTGCACGACACAGAGTACGCCGTATGCCGCACGGCGTAGAGCGCACAGCGTACAGCGCACGGAGGAGGAGCACAAAGGCCAAATCGGTTTGGCAAGCGGCTTCAGCTCTGCATCATTTTGATGAATGGGAGGCGGGCCACAGAGCGACAGACCAGACCAGACGAGGCAGCAGAACCTTCTCTGGTTACATAAGCATTACCCTGGTTATGATCAACGGCGTGTCCAGATCATTGCCACCAACCAGACGGATGCCCCAGGGCGTGCCCTGGCCATCCCGGAACAGCAGCACCGCGAACTCGTGCAGCTTTGGGCTCATCCTGTATGTGTTTTATGCCTCGCTGTGGAGCTGGATCAGTGTTGGTACATGCGAGCGATTATCCCAATTCCACTCTCGACTTTGGCTATTGTGGCTATTTATTTTTTTGTGGCTTTTTATTGCAAACTGTTTATTTTGTTGGCCAATTTTGTGTCGGCCCGAGGCGCTTGCGGCGCGATATTGCAGTCCGTTAAGCGTTTTGTTCGATCGCAAAGCTGCTCAAGTACTAATTTTAAAATACAATTCGTATTCCTTTTTGCAGCAGCAGCAGCAGACCTAGAACCAGAAGCGGATCGTGGTATACCACGAATACAGTGCGCCACAAATGTACGAGTACATACATACATACATATGTATGTAAGTGCGAGTATATTGAACATACATATGTACTTGTTTCTACAAGTAGAACCCACACTCGAAATCGTATTCACATTCACCGGCAAACACGACGACTACATGCCGAGAAACATGAATTCAATTGGCGATTCCTCCCAATTCCCCCAATCGTTAAATGAGGGGAGAGTACTGCAACTTTGCTGTTCCAATTGTGACGCACTTGAGCCAGCACTTTATTTACCTTTCCTATGGGTTCTTCGTTCTCTTTTTGTGCTGCTTTGCTCAGGTATATTTTCTGTGTACTCTAGAAAGTAGACTACACTCCAAACAGGCAAGATTCAAAGGAAATGGAATTTCGAATAGATAGGCGAAAACGAATTTTAAGAGAAGGAACTCTGTAGTTTTAGAAGCTGCAGCTGTCGAACTATACATATTATTATAAATCGCAGCAGAATACTAGAGGGTTCCTGCCATGATCCTTACAACCCTTTTTAGATTTCCCCTAAAGGTTTGCCTGTAAAGAGTATTAAAGATTCACACAACGGAGCATATTTATTTTCCTCATTTTCCTCATTATTTAATTTTTCTTGGGCCCGCGTCATTTCTTGCACATTTCTTGTGCCTGCCACTATTTAGGGCAGTGCAGAGCAGGGCAGGGGCAGCAGCACTTGATCCAGTTGCAAGCTTACCAACCGACCCTGAATGAAATGAATGCCACATGTCATCATGCGAGGCGCACAATTTGATGATCTTGCTGCTGCCGCCGGCGCTGCTGCTGCTGCTGCTGTTGCCACGTAAAAAATCAAATGTCTGGGCATCTGCTTTTCAGCACTTTTATTATTGTATCTGAATCTGTATCTGTATCTTTTTTTTTTGTGTGGCGGATGAGCCAACTGAGAGGAGACTGTGCAATTAAATTCATTTACTGCCGCGATGATGAGTGGATGATCTAAAAACAGAGGGATCATCATCATCAACAACAACATGGTGACTGTTGTTGTTGCGTTGCTGAAACAAGATCCTCAAAAATCGGATTCCACTGGGAAACAGGTAAACGTGAACGTGCCACGTGACGTATGCGCAATGTGCAAAGGGTCCCTGGATTGAAGGCCGCGTCCCGTATGTTTTTCTCGACTTGTTTGGTCAACAGCTGCTTCTTTGTTCCGTTCCTACGATCTTGGGGGACCAATAGACATTCCGTTTGCTCATTTTTGGCAACTATTTTACTGCTTAAAACGGAAAAATCATTTTCCTGCCTGTCGTTTTCTGTTCCCTCGTGCCAGTGCCTGCGGATATACCGAATATATGGCTTTGCATTTTATTTTCTCATTTATTTATTCTGTTTTCGGCGCTTTTTTGGCTGAGGTCTTGAAATGTTTTTACTATTTGCGGTTTGAATTGTTTTCATATGAATTTCAATTGGAATTTCGGTGATGATTTTGTAAGACTTTTGAGGTCGCTATATCTACCCATCCGATAATGTTAGTTCTGTTTGTGGCAAATGGAAAATCAGCGCAAAATTGCACCAATTACATGCTAGTGGGCATAAATTCCAACCATTCATCCATCCATCCATCTGTCTATCTGGGTCTGTTTTTGTGCGGTCTTCTTTTTACTTGGTCAACAACTGCAGCAGTGGCCAATTAATTAAATTTTGTTTGACAAATTTACGGGCCGCCAGGGGCAAAATGTTATTGAACTGATTTGTGACACGAGCTGCTGGGAATAAGAATTGGGGCCACCCACAAAAAGAGGCAAAGACAGCGACACTGACACACACACACACACACAAACACCCCCGACTGATGATTGACAAGCCATATAAATATGTAGACCCGAGTTCATATGGTATTTAGGGTGGTGGGGGATGACTGACGAGGACTTACCCAAATGTTTGGCTCATCGGCGAAATGCACCCGCTTCTTGAGGCCACTGGTGCTGCTGCGGCGACGCTGCGGCGTCAGGCGGCATGGGGGCGGCAGTGCAGCCACAGTGGGCGTGGATTGTGAGTAGATCTCATGAACGTAACTGGGCACCTTCCAGAAAGCCGGTCGCCTGTATGACGCGGAACCTGATGATCTGCTGGGCGTCATTGCTGGCCAGCGACTAGCGTAAACAAAAGAAATGCTGAGCAAAAATCATGCAAATACATTCAGAAATGTTCTCAATTCTACAATACTGCTGCCTGCCTGCCGTGAGTCGCCAATGCGTCTGCTCGCCGCTCCGTATGTGTGTGTACTACGAGTATACAATATGTATGTGCGGTGCGGTGCGGCAAGCAAAAGCGAAAAAATCTAAAACAAACAAAACGGCACGGAATAGACGAGCAAAATGAGCGCAAACGCAAGTGTTCATCATGCGAAAGGCATGTGAAAAGTATAAATGCAATGGAATTATGAATGAATGAGAACTAACAACTGTGCTCAATGCCAGTGCCCTCAAAATGCAACGCTTAAACACTGCGCCGAGCCATTATCCAGACACACTGTGCCTGTGAGGGGTAAAGTATTGCATATCAATATTCAAAAATACATTTCAAATGCAACCGCCAAAGCTACTGCAAGCATTTTCTATGGATCTGGCAACGTTCAGTGCACTTAAATACTTTTTCCATTTAGAGCACAAAGAATACTGAAAATCTTCTGTATATAAAACAAAAACATAATGAAATGGAAACAAAGTGCTTTGGCCGTTTTAGTTTTAACCTTATTATGAAAACAATCAAATAAAAATTAAATCTTGCAAAAAATTGAACTAGTTTGTGATATTAAACGGAATGTCAAAATTATGTCGTGTCCGTCAGTATATTTACGGTATATTTTAATAATGAGAAGGTATATTTCTGAGGGGCTGATGGTATATTTTGGGGAAATATTTCTGTCAACAATTGGGAAAAAAAATTAGGAAACTTTTAAGCTGCAGCCCAGGGTAAAAAAGGCGTTCCACAGGTGGCAAAGGAGGCGTGGAAATGTCAATACATTTTTTTTGTATGACAACAAAGCAACAAAAAAAGTCCACATCATTGCAACGCTATAGCCCAAAGCATGTCTATTTTCAAGGCGCGGTATGTACGACCCAATAATGTGATGTGTTTTCGTGAATTAAAAACAAAAGATTCACACTCCCTCTTGATGTTTTTAGTGTGAAAGAGTTTGATGATGCTCTGGCCCAGGACGTGGTTGACCTTAAGGAGCTGCGTAGACTGACGTTTAATGGTGGGATATCACATTTCTGATGGACATGACAATTCACGGCAATAAATCCAATCCACAGGTGTGCCCGATGTACAAAGCTTCCGTGCGCTCAGCTGGAAGCTGCTGTTGGGCTACCTGGGACCCAGGCGCAGCAGTTGGACGATGACGCTGGCCCAGAAGCGGGCCCTATATAAGCAGTTCATAGAGGAACTTGTACTCCCCCCGGGACACAGCTGCAATGGAGCGGGAGACTGTGACGGTGACGAGGTCGCTGTGGATGCAAGGGGCGTTGGCCTGCAAGATCATCCGCTCAGCGAGGGGCCGGAAAGTGCCTGGAACACATTCTTCAACGACAACGAATTTCTGCTGCAGATCGACAAGGATGTGAGGCGCCTGTGCCCCGACATCTCGTTCTTTCAACAGCCCACAGACTACCCCTGCGACATTGTGGTGCACAGCAAAGGAGAACACGGCCGACGGCTACACGAACGGGTGGTGCCCACAGTGCTCAGCTCGGCGAATGTCGAGCGCAAGGGCCTGGGCATGACCAAGGTGAGTTTCGGTCGGGTCGGGAATTGTGCTAGAGAATAAGTGTGCTCAAAGTGTGTTCCATTATGCCTGCCATTGTGGACTTTAGCAGCAAGTAAGTGACCCCCGCTCAAGCGACACGCTGTTTAATGAGCCTCTTTGCCTCCAATCAGATCAATTTAATCACAAAGCGTTCGGTGGAGACCTATGCCGCCATGGAGGAGGGCCAGGAGGCACACTGGGAGGTGGTGCAGCGCATTCTGTTCATCTACGCCAAGCTGAATCCGGGCCAGGGATACGTCCAGGGCATGAATGAGATTGTCGGGCCCATCTACTATGTGATGGCCTCCGATCCGGATCTCTCGTATCGCGCCCATGCGGAGGCCGACTGTTTCTTCTGCTTCACGGCTCTGATGAGCGAGATACGCGACTTTTTCATCAAGACCCTCGACGATGCGGAGGGCGGCATAAAGTTCATGATGGCCAGGCTATCCAACATGCTCAAGACTAAAGATATTGATATCTACGAGCTTCTGAAGAGCCAAGAGCTGCATCCGCAGTACTACAGCTTCAGGTGGCTCACGCTCCTGCTCTCGCAGGAGTTTCCACTGCCCGATGTGCTGCGCATTTGGGATTCGGTATTCTCAGACGAGCAGCGCTTCGATTTCCTCATCAAAATCTGCTGTTCCATGATATTGTAAGCACACTCTCCTTCCACTCTCCTTCTTTTACTCAATTATTGACACGAACTCCATGGGTTTGCTGTACGTTTTTGCTTGTAGAATCCAAAGGGAAGCTATTTTGGAGAACGACTTTGCCTCGAATGTGAAGCTGCTGCAGAACTATCCTCCGATTGATATAAACGTTGTGATTACGCATGCCGTCTCCTTGGCGTAGCACTCACTCACTGACACTACTGATGCCACAGATATTATTATGTGATGGATGACCTGCATGATTCCCGGGTACAGTCTGACCAAGCAATCGACTACAGTTATGTCTCGCAATACTTCGAAACGCACCCTTCCGCCGGGAAGGAAGTCCCCAGGCCCCAACAAATGATCAAACAAGTAACCTTGTTGTTTTTTTTATACGTTATAATTTCTTAATAAACGAATGTCCCCCGCATCGAAATGCAACTGTAAAACATATGTATGTCATATAGGGTGGTCATTGCTCAAGTGTCAGATGTGTGTCTGTGAGTGTGTGTGTGTGGGTGGTGTGTGTAGCATCGTTAAATGAAAAAGTAACAAAATATATAACATTCTCGAGATTCTCTTCAGAGATTGATTACTTGGCCAAACGTGGGGCCGTATCCTTGCAAATCGTCTGAGCGATAAACTCCACCAGTGTGCGCGTCGGACGTCCGGCCATTCCCTTGCGCAGATACTCGTATTCGGTGCCCTTCGTCAGCATCACATTTGTGGCATCCTTTGCGGAACAAAACCCATCAGATCTGTGCCCCAATAAGCTCTGTGCCCCAATACTCACAATGTGCATCCACTGGCCACAGGGCACAAACTCGCGCAGAAAGGCAGCGGCCTTGCAGGGACGTCCACCGCGGCCAATGCCGTAGTTCTGGACATCGCTGCGTCCCCCGGATCGCACGGCCTTGCTGTAAAACTTCCACAACGGGAAGCGCCACACGCGATCCCCGGTGTGCATGCTGGCGTGCTTGATCTGCTGCCAGAGGATCTCCGAGTTGGTGAAGATGCCAGCAGCCGACTCGTCCAGAGCCTGACGCATGTAGCCGGAACAGGTGCCGACGTCAATGATGCACTTGGGACAGAAATTCTGGCCATAGAGAAGGGCATCCGCCAGGACAAGGACATCCTCGTGGTCTGTGCACTGGATCTCCATGGTCTTGCCGTTCATGGACTTGACCATGTCCCCAGGACGAACCGAATTGCAGCCAACAACGTTCTCACAAAGAGGGATCAGGCCGCGAATGTTCACCTAACGAACAGGATTATTATTCAAGGACCTCTTCATTACTAGCTATCAATGAGCCACCCCGAACACTTACCGGTAAGCGAAGACCAGCGACAGCGCGGCAAGTGGCCACCACAACGGCAGCTCCCGTCATGTCGCCACGCATGTGAAATAGCTCATGTTTCTTTTTGAGGCACAGTCCTCCTGCATCGTAGGTCACGCCCTGGCCGACCAGCACAATGGGACGCTCCTCGGCACAGGTGCCGTAGTAGCTGAGCTCCAAAAAGATCGGGGGCTCGCACGAGGCTTTCGCCACTGCCAGGAAGGCGTGCATTGACTGGCTCTCCGCCCAGCCCTCGACCTTCACCTCCACGTTGACTCCAGACTTGCACAGGACCTCTACGACATTTTGCGCGAAGGCAGTGGGCGTGAGGAGATTGGAGGGCATCTCCTGCAGCTGTCTCGTCAGGTTTTGGGCTGCAGCCTTCTGCAGGCCAATGCGCCATCCTTCGATGTCGCAGATTTCGTCCTTTACTGCGTACAAATCTAGCGAGGGAACTGGAATCCTGTGCTGTGGGTCGCGCAGCTCCTGGTAGAGCCAGATGCCCAGTGCTGCTCCCTCGGCAGCGGATTCGGCGTGGCCGCAGTTCTCCACTTCGATTCTGTCAGTGTCCAGTTCAGCCAAAATACGGCAGGCGGCTGCAACGGATTTGCGGATCGCCTCCTTTTGCTCGTCCAGCACCTCATAGGGGTTGTAGCCGAGGCACTCCTTGCCCAGGCCGACCACAGCCACCACGGAATAATAGGGGATCCGCTCCGGCTCGATGGCGAAGAAAAGGCGAGCCTCGCCCTGCTTGGGCATTGGCCCGGACATCCGCAGGACCTCCAGCAATCGGCCGTTGGTCTTCTGCACATTGTAACGCCAGCCAGCCGGGGTCAGGATGCCGGCATCGTTGCGATCCTTTTCGTCGGCGAAGACGCCGATCACAAGTCCGCGCGAAGGCGGATCGGCGCACATCTCCATCTGCTGGAGCTGCAGCATCTGGTTGATGGCCTGCGAGGCGTAGCGGCGCGAGAAGTCCAGGGGATGTGGTCTCAGGGTGCGGATGTGGCGGATGGCCTGCGGGACCAGCCGACGCGCAACGCGAAACATCCTTTATCGATAGGTTCAAAAGGTATACGAATACGACTAATCAAAGATGCTTCAAAGACAATTTGATTTTTTCGCTAGCTTCAAAATAATTTTTCAGCATAAAATTTTGGATGCGTGCTTCGTTTTCAATCTCTAGCGAGAGAATGCGACAATGAGACGATGAATGTGCTCCATGGGAAAGTGACACTCACCTCAAGGGCTGCTTGGTCGGTAGATTAAGGAAATTCAACAAAAAGTACGAGAAGAAATGGATTCTTCACTCACTAAAGTTTTTCTTTGTCAGTCATAGATATATCTCCGACAAATGTGGATTTGTAAACTCTTTAATACTATTTTGAGTGATCTGCATCCATGAGTTAATTGGTACATACATATATGTACATATAGGTAAATTTGTGTCGGGATTAAATGTACATTAAGCGGGCCCATTTTCAGGTTGTCTTTTCTTTCTTTGTCAAATATCTTCCAAGGCCAGACCAGCTGCTTATCGCCCTCTTTTCTTATGTCTCTGAGTCTCTGAGCGAGACTCTCAATACGGAGAGTTTTCAGCAACAGAATAGGCAAGAGAATAACGGACAGACAGCCAAATAAGGAGACGAGACAAAAGCAGACACACCCAGCAGAGCATTGTGAATATTTCGTAGTGACTTAATGCTCAGCCAAATGACCAAAATACACAACACAAAATAATCATAAATTTATGTGTATGCGAATTTCATTTTTATTTTGCACAGTTTGATTGTCTTTGTTGTGATAGAAAATAGTTGCTTTAATCCAAGTGTTCGAAAATACATACTATTACTGATTATTACTTAATAATTCTAAAAAACTATTCCTGGAAAAAACTAACAATTTAAAACATGTTCAGTAACATCTTCTGGCCAAAATATTTATGATGATTGCAGCGGGGACTGCCGCGGGGGACTGACTATTGGGACTGGCATTTGTTCAGACATCCTTCCTACTTGCCCAGCTTCGGGGCGGTGTCCTTGCAGATGGTCTGGGCAATGAACTCGACCAGGGTGCGGGTCGGACGGCCAGCCATCCCGCGACGAAGGTACTCGAAATCGATGCCATTGGTGACCATCACGTTGGTGGCATCCTGAAACGGGACACGCCATTAGACAATCCCCCCACCACTCACTCAGAGCCTTCTCCAATACTCACAATGTGCATCCACTGGCCACAGGGCACAAACTCGCGCAGAAAGGCAGCGGCCTTGCAGGGACGTCCACCACGGCCAATGCCGTAGTTCTGGACATCGCTGCGGGAGCCGGCACGCACGGCCTTGCTGTAGTAGTTCCACAGGGGGAAGCGCCACACGCGATCTCCGGTGTGCATGCTGGCGTGCTTGATCTGCTGCCAGAGGATCTCCGAGTTGGTGAACACTCCGGCGGCTGCCTCGTCCAGGGACTGACGCATGTAGCCCGAACAGGTGCCCACATCGATGATGCACTTGGGACAGAAGTTTTGCGCATAAAGCAAGGCGTCAGCCAGGACAAGAACATCCTCGTGGTCTGTGCACTGGATCTCGATGGTCTTGCCGTTCATGGACTTGACCATGTCGCCAGGACGGAACGAATTGCATCCGACCACGTTCTCACAGAGAGGAATCAGGCCACGGACGTTGACCTAAACAAGGATAATCAGCACTGAGCACCAATGGGGGCACAAAAACCTTTTCACTCACGGGCAAACGGAGACTGGCCACGGCTCGGCAGGTGGCAACGACGACTGCTGCTCCGGTCATGTCGCCACGCATGTTGAACAGTTCCTTGCGCTTCTTGAGGCACAAACCACCGGCATCGTAGGTCACGCCCTGGCCGACCAGCACAATGGGACGCTCCTCGGCACAGGTGCCGTAGTAGCTGAGCTCCAAAAAGATTGGGGGCTCGCACGAGGCCTTGCCCACAGCCAGGAAGGCGTGCATTGACTGGCTCTCCGCCCAGCCCTCGACCTTCACCTCCACGTTGACTCCAGACTTGCACAGGACCTCTACGACATTTTGCGCGAAGGCAGTGGGCGTGAGGAGATTGGAGGGCATCTCCTGCAGCTGTCGCGTCAGGTTCTGGGCTGCAGCCTTCTGCAGGCCAATGCGCCATCCTTCGATGTCGCAGACATCATCCTGGGTGGCATACAAGTCAATGGACGGCACGGAGAGGCGGTATTTGGGATCCCGCAGCTCCTGATAGGCCCAGATGCCCAATGCTGCTCCCTCGGCAGCGGACTCGGCGTGTCCGCAGTTCTCCACCTCGATTCTGTCTGTGTCTAGCTCGGCTAGAACCCGGCAAGCGGCTGCAACGGAACGACGGATCGCCTCCTTTTGCTCGTCGAGCACCTCATAGGGGTTGTAGCCGAGGCACTCCTTGCCCAGGCCGACCACAGCCACCACCGAATAATAGGGGATTCGCTCCGGCTCGATGGCGAACAGCAGACGGGCCTCGCCCCGCTTGGGCATCGGTCCGGACATACGCAGGACCTGGATGAGGCGCCCGTTGGTCTTGGTCACGTTGTAACGCCAGCCGGCGGGGGTCAGGATGCCCGCATCGTTGCGGTCCTCCTCGTCGGCGAAGACGCCTATCACCAGACCGCGCGAGGGCTGGTCCGCACAGATGTCCATCTGCTGCAGCTGCAGCATCTGGTTGATGGCCTGCGAGGCGTAGGAGCGCCTCAGGCCCGTATTGGCATACTGCCAGCGGACGGCCGGATGCCGGACGACGCGGACTAGCAAATTCCGCGACACTCCGAACATTGCACCGAGCCGGCGAGAACACATTCCACTCATTGCACTTTGAATTAGAACCAATCGAATTTAGACTCTCCGCCGATCATCAAAAAGAAAAACCTTTTGTCAAAAAGAAGAAAAATGTTTAACTACTAAAACTAAAAATTTGTTTCGATGGCACAAAAAATTTTGATTTTCGTTTTTAGATGTTGACTGGACTATTTGCTAACGTGAACTGAATAATTTTGTGTTGAGCATCGAGAAGTTCGTGACACAATGGGAAGTGGGATTTTCCAAGGCCTTTCCTGATGGCTCCTACTAAAAGGAGACTAGATTGCAATCTGAAATGTGTATGGGAAGTGTTGAAAGCCTCAATAAAAGAAAAGGTATATCCAGACCCATCGAAACGATCCACAGGGTACGAATGAACTTTACCTTGACTCTTGTTTATTTTTTTAACCATACTCAGCATAATCGATTAGGTACAATTTTTGGTTGTTTGTTTTTTGTTTGTAATACTGCTTAAAATTTGAGACACCAGCGAGACACAGACACATAGTGATAACATACATATACATATACGTATATCTTTATGGCTAATAGATATTCTTGTATATAAAATAACAATGGCTTTAGAACCCTTCCTTTCCAGCTTTCGTTCGTCATTTACTTGGGATATGTTTCAGTTTTTGTTGGTTGGTTGGTTGGTTGGTTTCCAGTTTCGTTTTATTTTGGTGGGGCGGGGCGAGAGTTGCGGTTCGATAAGAAAATATGCAGCTATGATATATAGTATAGGATCTGGTTGTGCTATCCACAGTTCGGAAAGGGCTTTCGCAGGGGACTGGCTATCTATCTGGCAAGAGTTCAACAAAGACTAGTAGTAGGTGGTACATAGTAGCATAAACTTTGAAGGAGTGCAACAATCTACGGGGTAAGGCACTCGCATGTACGAGCACGATAAGAGAAGAGGCACATTAGTTATTTGAGCAGCTGCAGCATAGAGACTAGAGAGTGCTAGACCAGACAGCTGTGTGTGGCTGAAGGTATCCTTGTGTTCCCCGGCCGTCTTCACTGTCCGGCACTTTGGCACCCTTTGCATGGCGCAATTCACTTTTCAAAATCACTTTTACGGAGTCGACAATGTGCACAATGGCACGAGCTGCGCTCCGTCTATTTACAATATGTAACAGGAAAATTGGGATATCTCTTGGACAAATGATAATCTTATAGTTCACAGCAATCACAAAATCGTGGTCACGGTCACGGGCAGGCCATCGGCATTCAGAGAGCGCTCGGTCTGCACCCGGGTGCCGAAACTCTCCACGCTGGTCGCCTTGCTCAGGTCGATGGCCGGCACATCCTCATCGTAGTCGGAGGCGAGCTCCTCCTCGGCCAGGTAGCTGCATTTCGTTGGCTTCGTATGTTTCTGGTTCTGGTTTTGGTTATGGTTCTGGTTCTGGTGCTCCTGCTCGTGGAGGCAGTGCGTCTTTGCCTTGGAGCAGCACGGTCCGGGACCGTGTCCGTGTCCGTGTCCGTGTACGGGTCCGTGTGCGGGTCCGTGTCCAGCCATGTAGATGATGCCATCGTCCGTGTCCTCGTCATCGGTGTGCTTCACCGGATAGTGGCCGTAGCCCGCCTCGCACTGGTACGGATTGGACTTGACGTGCACATTGCGGCAGCTGCCACCGCAATTGTGGTGGCTCTCGGCGTCGCCCCCATTGGCGCCGTAGCACTGGCCCCTGTGGAGCGAGTGGGCCACCGAATGGGTGTGCACCTGGCCCACCCCAGCCTGCGTGCTGCTGGAGTGGGCCACTGACTGCTATATGTGCGAGTGGGAGCGGGCGATGGACAGCGAGTAGGGGCTGAGGTCCTTCTGAATGCTCATCGAGTCGTAGATGGGGAACTCGCAGCACAGGATGAACTTCAAAGCACTGGGCACCTCCTCGTACACAGCCGGCGGCACGGGGATCAGTGGCGAGGTGGAGGCCTTGTACTTGCGATACTCCAGCTGGCTGCAGCCATCCAATGGGGAGAGGAGACCCACCCATTGGGGGATTAATCAATTAATGGAGCCACAATCTCTACTTACTCTTTGTACTTCTCGTCGGCGCTCCGTTCGCGCAGCGGAATGCCGGACAGGAAGAGGATGATCAGCGTGGTGAAGATGGGCGAGGCAATGGCCACCCACTCGTGTCCGCTGATCACATTCAGGGAGATGGCGAAGATGCCCCACCAGATGATGACCTCCCCAAAGTAATTCGGATGACGGGAAACGCTCCACAACCCTGTCGGCGAATTATTGAATAATGTTTGAATGGGGGGGATTGCCTGAATGGTACTCTCCTGATGCACTCACCGTCGTTGCAGAACTTTCCCTGATTGGCCGGGTCCTGGCGGAACGAGAACTTTTGCAGATCCGCATAGGTCTCGGCCAGCAGTCCCACAATGAACATGCCCGTGCCGGTGGAGTCCAAGGTGGTCATGGTCTTGGGTGCCTGCGGCTGCGAGTGGCGCGGCGAGTTGATGATGATCACAGGCAGTGACACGATGTACACCCAAACGGCCTAGGGGGGACACAGCAGATTTGATTATTCACAGGAGAACAGGAATAATGTCTCTGATTTGATTATCTATCAATCAACCAGAGGGCCCATATAAGCGCTCTACTCTTAAGTGATTTCCATCAACAAGTGATTTCTGATGGGATGGGTTGGGATGGGATGGAAAATAAATTCAGACAAAACGATTGCGGGACATGCCACATGCAGCACGCCATCGCCATCACCATCACCAAAGGATAGACTGACAGACACACACAGAATGAAGGACAGTCGCCAGTCGTCACCCACACACAGAGCCACAGAGCCACAGAGCCACAGAGATCCTGCGACCCCCACAACCGACGCCCTGAACGTTTAGCAGCCATCGCCCACATGTGTCATGTCATTTCCATGCCCCCTCCGCCGCCACCCACGCTGCATGGCATTTAATTGTTGCTGCAACTGGATCTGTGTGTGGGTGAGAGCAGAGACGTCACCATCCTCCCACTGGACCGTCGACAACTGCTGAAATATGAAATATTCAAAAACCTTTGCGCACACGTCAATTAGTGACAGTTTGATTGATTTTCGGGCAGGCAACGAAGCGGGTGGGGATTTCAAGTTGAAGGTTCTGTCATTGAAAGCAAAACTGAAAAGTGGCTGACGCAACTAGCCTTGAACCCCGAAGCCCGAAGCCCGAACCCCGCCCCGCACCGGCCACCTGCAAGAACACCAGCTCACCTTGCAGATGGTGCACTGGGACTCGGACTCACCTGGAAGGTCCAGAAGACCGCATAGCGAATGACGTTGCGTCGGGTATCCTCGAACTGCTTGTCTCGGCCCAGCTTGATGATGCGATACAGCAAATATCCGGACAGCCGTGCGCCCCACAGGCACACAAAGAGCGTGACCATCAGCTGGCGGCTGTCGTAGGCCTGTGGAAATGGAAATGGAAAGGGAAAGAGTGGATCAGAGTGGGCTGGCTGGTGGCTGGTTGGCTGGTGGCTGGCTCCCCCTGGCCTCCCAGGGGGAGGCACTTAAAATTAAACCCCTGCGTGTGAACCGATGGGCAGACTGGGGCAGACCCGCAATGCCGTAAATTTGTGGTTACCTACCGTCTACGGAACAAGGAGATATATGTATGTATGTACATATATCTGTGCGAGTATCGCGGCAGGGGAGGGGGTTTACGAGCTGATGGGATAAATTTAGAGTTCAAGGCTGACCGAGGGGAAAGGTAATCCAACACCAAAATTGAGATATATATCTGGGCAGGAATCGAGGCTCATCCCCGCTCCTCAGCTGATAGAGTAGTCGCTGGCAAAGAGTCGAGTTCAAGGCTGATTTTGCAACTCTCGTAACTATTTTCAGTATCCGCATGAAAATGGCACGACTAGACACGAATGTTCTACACCTTTGACAGTTTTAGTGTAGTGCAAAAGTGCAATAATTACCTTCAGATATTAGACAGGTTTATATGGTTAGCAACTGAGCACTCCCTACTCCCTACTCCCTACAAATCTGACTCCAGTATCGAATCTTTAATTATATTCTTTGTTATTTCTAGCTGCCATCTGCAGGGTATCGAGCAATCCGTACCCTCTCCTCATGCATTGCCCAACGAGCAATTGGCACGAATTTTATTTGGCTGTTTTTCGTGTGCCAGAGAGGAGTGTAGTGTTGTTTTCCGTGTTATTCGGCGGATGTGCGGGATGTGTTACTTTAAAAAACCACATGCGAATTTTGCATAAATGAAGAGAGCGCGCACCGCACCAGTGGAGGCGGCGGTCGGTCGGTCCATGCTCCGCTCCGGTGGCGGCTAAAAGTGCGCTCTATGATGGACTGCAATTGGGGCTGTGGGTTTGGGGCATGGCTATGGTTTGTGGTTCAATAATGAATGAGTTGACTTTGCATATTTATAAACGGCATTGATGGCAACACACACAAACAAACAGTGGGAATAAGCAGAGGAAAACTCGTACGGTAGCAGCACTCGCACTGCATGGAGGAACGGGTGGGGGTGGGGGTCGGGGCCATCAAACGGCCCATGAAAAATGCATTAAAGAAAAAAATTGTTAAATTGCTGTGCCAATGACAGTGAAAGTGCAGCCGGTAGCGCCCACATGGCCATAACCGCAGCCAAGGCACACACGCCCTCCACCCTCTACCCTCTATCCTCTATCCTCTACCCTCACGGAGGTCACGTATACGGACGGGAAGCCATTGACAGGGGCAAGGTATATCTCTCTCTCTATCTCTCTGCAGTGGGGACTGTGTGGCTGCCACAAGTTGATAGTTTAATGGGTTTGTCATTTGCGAAGACAGTTCGCTCACTCGATTGTCTATTTGCAGTTTGATTGAGCTGCCTTTCAGCCAAGGCTTAAGCCATTTTATCGCACGATTTATTAAACGACCCCACCCCCCAGCGATAAACCATCGACAGGCACAGCCAAAGGCACGGAAACGGACAGGGACAGGGGCAGAGGCATCGGTCTGGGCTGCATACAACTGCAATAAAGCATTTTTATGACCCTCAGACAAGGACACACACAGCCACACATACATACGTAGTTGCACAACGGCTGTAGCTGGAGGAAAAGCGACAAAACAAGCAACAACAGCCACCAGCAATGGCAGCACTTCCACTTCCGCTTCCGGCTGACGACGAGCAAGCGCTCAGCTCTGTCTCTCACTCTTTCTCTCTCTCCATGGGTGGGTGGAAAGCCAAAGCAAACCCAGCATTATTGCAAGAATTTTAAATTATGGCCATGATTAATTTACGATCAATATTCGAAAAAGGAGAACCCACAAATTAATTACAAACAAATGTACGATTCATGTCCGAAAATGGAACTGTTCTGTTTGTCCGTGGTCGAATCAATAACGAGAACCAATCCGGGATGCAAAACTTGGGAGGTGGTGGGATGTGGTTGACTGTAGGTGGATTGGATTTATGTTTCAATTTCGTAATGCATTCCCTTTGTTGGCTGAACAATCGACTCTGCTCTGCGGTTGTGGCTTCCGTACCAAATTGATATTGACAAGGTTCTCAAGTTCATTCGGTAATTCGATACTTTTGTGGGTGACCAAAAGAGTAAACTGATACCTGATGCTTTTGTTCAAGTTTTAATTGGAGCTTAAACAAATTTCGTAGTTCATTTAGAAAGTTTTCCTTTAAAGAGGGTCTGCTTTAAGTAATTTACTTTTCAATTTTATTGCAGTTTTCGCACAATATCGAGGGGAAAGAAATTGTTTCGGCGTTAAAGGTAATTTTATTTTTAAATATATTTATTTATATATGTATACATATGTATTTATCTCTTTATCCGCCTGACTGACCAATTGCTCGTTCAGGCTGAAGCCAAACGGAAGTACAGAGGCTGTCCAGCTCTGCTTTTTCTTGATGCATGATAGTTTAGTGAAGAGTTGCTTGGAGTCTGGTTTTTCCTGATGTATTATGATTTAGTGAAGAGTTAGTTGGTGCGCAAGCAATTGGAAGCGCCACAAGCCAAGCGGGAAACTGCCTGAACTGCTCTAATTTTGTAGACCCCTCAAGGAAGAGCCCAGAAGAATATCTCATATTAATCTACTGTAATGCTTGGCCAACAAATAAATTACATTGAAGAATAACTACTGAATTGGGTGATGGTTTGACCCACCCCCCTTAGCAGTTACAAGCCTCGGGCATTTATAGCAAATTCTTTGGAATTTTGTATTACATTTTTGCTTTGTCTATGGGGTGCTTGGGATTTAATGAAATTTGTGCAATAGAAAGCAATAGCTTTCAAGCTGTGGCACATCACATCGCATTACTCCCATCTTTCTGCCAAAAACAAAGCGTTTGGTAGTTAGCTGCTAAGGCCCACAGACAGACGGACAGACATAGAGGGAGAAAGGGAAAGAGAGAGAAAGAGAAAGAGACAGACAGATGGAGGAGGACCCTCACGATGCCAAGGTCATGCCACAGCTGCAACAACAACAGCAGCAGCAACAACAGCAACAGCAGCGAGAGAAACAACAGCAGAAGCGTGGGCCTTGCTGGGCGTAACCTTTTGTTTGTGAGGCAGGAACCAGGCAAGGCAATATATACATACATATGTATGTATGTATGTGTGTGTATTTGTATGTGGGGGGATGCTAGTATCTGTGTGTGTGTGTGTGTGTTGGCTCTTGTTTGTGTTGTTGTCTGCGTGCGTATGCGAAATTCAGTTTTCAATGTCAGCGCGTGAAACAACCGGCAAGGCAAGGCAAGGCAAGGCAACCGCCACCAAAGCCAAAGCCAAAGCCAAACCACTTTTGGGCAACACCCTCTCTAGCGAGTGAACTGCAGGCGACATGTTTATGGTCACGTTTAAAATGCAGTTAAAATTTTATTCGGAAAAAGCGACCGAACAGAACCGAAAGTTTTCACACTTACCTTTGAAGGCCGATCAATTTGGCCCAGAAAGAAGGTCAGCAGCGAGATGATAATGAAGTTGACGCCGCCCGCAAAGTCCGTCAGCTTGTCCATGTGCAGCATGGAGTTGATGAGAAAGAAGAACAACTGCAGGCTGCCCACAACAATGGCGCTGATGGCAAAGTGATCATAGTCCAGCACGTGGATGGCCATCTCGACACCGACACCTGTTCTGGCTGGTGGTCCTCTGGTGCGGGTGTCTGGTGTCGGTGTTGGGTGTCGGCTGTCGGGAGTTGGACTCGGACTCGGACTGGGACTGGGGCTCGGGATGAGCAACAGGTCTCTTCGTCGGGCTGTTCTTAAATATTGCAAAATGTTTAGCTTTCACATCGCTTCACATCGACTGTCTCCCTCTGGCCCCCAGAGAGGTTTACATGGTGTGCTGCCTGCTGTCTGCTGCTCTTGGCTGCCAGCCAAGGAGTCCTCTTTGTCCTGCTGTTGCTCCGCCTGCCAGTGTCTGCTGTTACGCCAGCTGGTGCCCCCTCTGTGGCTGCTGCTCCTCCTCCACTTACGTGAACGTGAACGTGGACGCTTGTTGATTATATATTTATGTGATGATTGTTTATTTGGGGTCGTCCCTGCAAAGTGCAATAAATAATGCAGAACGTTCAGGTTATGGCAACTGCTCTGCTGGTTATTTGCGTAATGAAAACTTAATTCAATTTTCCGCCAGCCAGAATCCTTCATTCGAGCAAACTTCATCTACCGTAGCCACTCAAGCACCCAAGCACCTAAGCACCTAAGCACCTAAGCATGGTGGCAATCTCCGGTCCTGGCCATGGCCCTGGCCCTGGTCCTGCCACACCCTCAGCGGTGTCTGTATTTGTGTGCATTGAGCCGACAAATCGTTGGCACAACGTTGGGAAAGGGGCTCCATGCTCCCTCCCCTCCTCCTCTCTTGGTGTCTGCCCAAGGGGTTGTGTCTGTGTGTGTGTGTGAGTGGGTGCTTCAATGGTTTATGTGGCACATACTTGAGCTGTTTGGCTTAACTTCTTAAGCCTCTATTTGCAGCCTCCCCTTTCGCCCGCTCTTTTCACCCATTGTTTGTGCAACGTTTTCAGCCTGCATACATAATTAACTGAATCCCCGGGGTAATCTAAAATGCAGTCTCTCCTCCACATCTGGCCCACAAAAGTGTGCCACAGATTGCAGATTGTGCCCGTGCCCGTACCCGTGCCAGTGCCAGTGCCCGTGTCCCCTCTGCAGGTGTGGCAAGTCTTGAATGCCACTTGAAATCGATTTTCAAGTGATTTAATTGAGTTTATGGAAGCAAAGCAGCACTCAAAAGTTATCTGTCCAGCCATTAGCCACCATTTCGCACTGCATAAAGTTTCAGTGTTCGATTGTTTGTGGATTTGGCTATTGGTTTCCATTTGACTGCCATTCTGAATTATTTATTTTTAAGCTATTTCCAGCTAATGCTAAACAATTCATGTAAATAGGAGGGCACATAAACTCCCAAATAGCCGAGTGTTTTCCAAGAAACTTGTCCCTCCTTTTAGTTGAACATCTCTACCTAAAATATTTAAGAGTTCCCAAACTACATATTGAAGCAGAAACTAGGAACTGCTATGATAAGTTCACTATGTCATACATACATATGTGTAGCTACAAAACGAAGGGTACGTTCAATACAGGTGAGGGTAGATTGATCCCAGTAAATGTAATTAAGTTGTATATTTTCTGCTATTTTTCCGGCAGACTTCTTCATGATCTGTCGCTGCTTGACGGGGCTGACACAGTCTCGGGAGTCTCCTCCCATCCCTCCCAGCTGGAATCTCTATATACTACACTGATAGAGCATAGTAAAAATAACTACAACAATTTGTTAAAATGCCTTTATACAAACATAGTAAAATTTAATAAACACTTTATTCAAATATAAAGTATTAAAAAGTTTTTATACGGCAATTTAATAAATACAAAACACTCAAAATAACTATAATATATTATTGTAGTTAATAGTTTCTTAATTGAATATTATTATGACTTGATAATTTCTTTTAACCAGGAACTTTTTATTTTAAAACCATTAAATGACAAATATTTTTGTATTTATTTTACTAGTTTATATTATTTTGTAGCCCTCAATCCCAACTAGTCCAGCGCGCGCCTTGATGCTAATAGCGCAGGGATAATCACAACCAAGTTGCTAACCAATTCACACCATGGGACGAATACATTTCTGGACCATAATACATTAAATGAATAATTAAAAGACAATAATTTAAAATTAAACATATAAATTTAAAAGGCATAACATAATAGGAACTAATTTTAATAGACATAAATTTAAATAAACAATTAATTTAAATACAATATTAAATATTAATATTATATTATACAAAATTAGGAAAAATTTTAATCAACCACCGGGAACAAGGCATAAATTACAAGGATAAAAAGGCTTTTCAGGTGTAGACACTAACAAATGTTTCTAGATGTTTCCAGCGTGCTACACAATTATCTCATAGTTCTATGGGTTCTGATGGTCTTCAACATTGGTCGAATTCGTATTGTAATAAATGTCTATTGAGAAACTCTTTTCTAAAGCTGCCATAGAAACAATAGAATTGTCAGGGTATACGAAACATCGTTCGCTCATTTTATGGCATGTCGCATGTCCTTTTTGTTGGAATTTCAAAGGAATTTCAATACCAAAATAATGAAACACGTATCTGCTTGTATCTGACTGAATGGCATACGGAATTCCCCCCTTTGCTTGGAAATTCCATCACTTCTGGCCTCCACAGTGCTGTGTGTGGCCGTCGCCCCGAAAGGTATGCCACACAGTTTGTTTTGCTCTGCCCCGTAGTAGTGCCAAAGAAATGCATCAGTGTTGCACATTCATTAAAGCGACGCCCGCGGCGAAGTCAAGGCCCCAAAAAAAACAAAAGGCTGGAATCGTGTGAAAGTTGTGCCTTATGCCTCATGCCACACACACACACACACACATAGACCCACACACAGGGATCCGTTAATATAGATGTGTAGTCAGTCAGCTGTACACAGAAGTCTGCCGCTGTTGCCACTTGGCTTGGCTGTTGCCACTGTTCTGGCTGTTGTTTGCTACTTTGCATTCCCTGCCACTGTGTGTCGTCTCCGGTGCGGCGTCCTCTCCAGCCCGGACTGGCGTTGGGGTTGAGGTTATTCGTAGCCGCAAGACATTGACAAGGTGTCTGCCAGGCTGTGCTGTCACTCACACTCACCGCAACACGGGGCAGGGCAGGGCAGGGCAGGCCGAATGGGTAGGTGGGTGGGTGGAGGTTGAGCGTGGGGGCACGACGGAGACGGAGCTGCGCTAAGAATTTGCATACAGAGCTCCCATCACTCACGGCAACCTGCCCGACGAATAGTTGCGCCTCAAGTTTTGCACACTTTTAAACGCATTTTCGCGTGCTTTTGCATTTTTCGCCCACGTTATTTGCCAGTGTCGCCACCGAGAGGTGAGCATTTGGTGCGTCCATTAAGGCATTCGAGTGGAGAATGTGTCAAAGCTTCCGATACACATGAAATCATTACGAAATTCCACGCGAAAGAATGTTATTAGCGACTTATGGGCTCGAGTGGTAAGCTCTGGCCGGTCTGCTGACATTTTCCATTGTAATATATACAGAACACAGTCAAAACAAATAGCTAATATTGGAATCCTACCAGATCTCTGCTATATCTTGCCCAACCTATGCGTCGCTTCCATGTTTTTTTTACCGGGAATTTCTGTATGCCTTAACGCAACTGGTTTATTGTACTAGCTCTATCCCTATTTACAAGTAGCCGAGAACCAAGTCTGTCAAAGCTTTCATTTCCCTTTTTCAGCTTCAACAAATCATAGCGTTTTTTTTGCCTCTTTCAAGGCAGAATCACGGAATTCTTTCATGTCAACACCTCTCATCACAGCAGGCCTCGTGTGCTTACATGTGTTCCACTTTCGGGGGAAAGCAAGCAGCCCGCACAAATTGAATATAATCCTAAGCCCATTACAACACATTTCACGGTCGAGCCAAGACAATGCTTGACTTTACGAGAACAAGCGCGACGACGACAACAAATTGTCGCTATACGGGGCGGATATACACTCTGGTATTGGTATTTCCCTGTGTTTCCCTTTCCACTTGATTTCTATGTTCTTGTGTGCCTGCTGCTGGCACTGCATTTGCAGCATGCAACACAATTTTCTCCGGTTCAACGGTGCGTATGATTAGCTTTGAGGCCGCCACGACACCGAAGGCACTCTATAGCCTCAGTTTTCCGCAGAGAAAGCCATTGCCCGGACTTGCTTCGATGTCTGCCGATGACGTATGCTAATTGATGTTATCGTTTATTTTATTTATAAACTGTGAACATAACATTGACGGGACATTGGCCAATTAGCCATCTCCCTGACGTTTTCGATTTGTGTGGACCTTATTGATTGTCTGGCTTGTGTCGTTTGTTTAACAGACCTCGCAATTACTGCTGTCGACAGAAACTAATTGAGTTATAGCTGGCCGGCAGTTTATTGTAGACAAGGCCATCCCTGGCCAAGCCAATGGCTGACTGCCTGCTCCCAGGCTCCGCCAGCTATCTGAACCACTTAATCGAATTTTATAGTGTCCTCCTAGCCTTAATCTCCAACAGTTTCTCGGGCTTGTGCCCAGCGATGCCAAAGATTGTGCAGCGTAATCCGAACAAATGACCCAGCTAAACGGAAAGGCATTAAACTCAAATATGCATAACGTCCAATCCAATCAAATCCAATCCAATCCACTGCCGTGCGGGCAATTCAATAAAGCGGAATCCGTTTTCAATTGACTGCCACTGACAGGAAAGTTCCATAAATTGGCAATTCTGATGCGGTGCTTTATGTAATCCCCCTGTGAACGGGGGGGTGGGGGCGGGAGTGGCTTAATGCGAAGCATAGCTGGGAACACCTTGAACTTGTTGGGGGGGCCCAAGAGTGTTTTGGTCATTTATTCATGCCAGAGAACTTTGGCTGCAGTGCGGGGCCTCAACTGTTGTTGGTCGAGTGGAGAAGTATTGACGTATTTTCAATTAAATTTACCCGCTAGTGGGGGGAGCATATTTATGGCTTCCAGGCTACGGATATTTCTATTTTTATGGCAGTGCCAGTGCCAGGGCCAGTAGCTCCACTCCTGTGTGGGAGCAAACAAACGCCCGAAGTTGTGCGACATGTGGCAGTGGCACTCTCGTACATAACTAACTGTGTGTTTGTGCATGTGTCAATAATGTAACTGAAGCTTTTTTCGAGCTCTCTGGCTGACTATATGCACATGCTCGTATCGCTCTATACGTGCCAGTAGAGTACCCTGTGTGTGGGCACCCAGATAAATACATCGGCCCAAGGAGCCACAGAAGCTAAGCGGAAAAAACACGCGTATACAACATCACACACACACACACACACCGCACACCACACACGCACGCACACACACAGATACAAAGAGTATGTATATACTTATGTACTGTACCCACAGATGGTATTAGAGGCTGTCTTCTTTCTGCCTGACGTGCCATGCCCCTTGGCTGCTTTCCCACACAGAAGTGGAAAGTCAAGTAAGTTGGACACGCGCTGCGTTAAGTTTTATAATTTCCAGCCCACAGAAGGTCTTCTCTTCCTTCCAAGCACCCCCCCACTCACCGAAGAAGCTCAAGCACCCTTAAAGCAACATGGCATGGCATTCCTGTGACGCTTCTAAACAATCAACGCACATTTCCGTTTCCGCTTATGCCGCAAAATGGCCAAAAAGTGGCTGCCATTGATGGCTCAAATGAGCGTCCGGGGCTGATTAGTTAAGGTTTTTGCCGTGGCCGTGGCGCGTGGGCCTCCGCTTGCTTAATTTCTCCTGGCGCTGCTGCTGACGCTGCTGCTGACGCTGCTGTTGTTGCTGCTGCAGCCAGCATCTAGTACGAGGCGAAAACAAATGCTCGAATTTCCGCGCAGTTTTCCGTGCGACACAAGCCCACAACCGACGCAACAGACGAACGAAAACAAACGAACCAACCATTTTCCGAGCAGTTTTTCTGTGCGAGAAAAGCCCGCTCTTTGGGGGCCGAATGGTAGAACTATAAGGGGTACGTGCCTCTTTTTGCAGGACACAATTCTCGAGTTTGGATCCGTCGAAGACCTTCGTGTCCGTTGTTTGCATGCCCGAGTAGTAAATAGCAAAAAATTTAAAAATATGCAATAAATTACTCCACTTTTAAACAAATGGGTTCTAATTAAAAAAAAAATTAATTATTTTTTTTTTAACGAATTCAATTTGAATCACCTGATGCATGACAACGTAGAAACATTGCCGGTCTAAGAACCGACTATCGAAATATTTAAATCGAATCAGTCCACGCGAAAATGGTAAACAAAAATCACATGCTATTGATTTTAATTAAATTCGGCTTTAATTGACAAAACTCCAGCTTGATTTCTAGTTTTCTTCATTTAAGTTGTCAAAAATATAACAAAATAATAGCGAAACTATCGATGGTTTCAATGATTTCTGAACTGCAATACATCGGCAGTTCATCAGTGCAGCCAAAGCCAAATCTTTTTTCCCGTCAAATCTGGCTGTTTTTGAAGATCAACTGCTTGAGAAATTAGGGAATTGCGGGAAGTGGAAATGCGTTTGGCTGACATTAAATTTGAATCAAGCTACTAGAAAAGTTAGTAAAATAATAAATTACCCCTTTTATTTTTGGCTTTTTTCTGAAATTTTTCAGCTATGTTTTGTCTATTGTCCACATTAGAAACGGCTTTTTTTCTGATGATAAGTTGGCAGCGCTGAATCCTTATGTTCATGTGAAATTTGTATTGCATATACTTAAAATTAACTCGCGGGAGATCTCCTGCATTGGAGTTGCCGGTTGCGTAATTGGACGCACTTGTGTGCGGTTTGTGGTTGTAGTTTGCAGAATGGCGTTGGCACTGCGTGTGGCGACGCGATTTGCGCAAGGTTCGGCAGTGAGTTGGCCCCAAGATCGCCAGCGGCTGTTACAGCTATACATTACCAGCCCAAGTGCCAGGTTAGAACGATCCCCTGACCCCAATTATCAATCAGCATTAAAACCCCATTCACCGGCAGCGATAACGGACCGAAGTCATATTGCACACTGCCACCAGAACGGAAATATTCGGCAAAATCGACTGGAGGAGAGGCACCGCCAACGATTAAGCGAAATGTAGCCGCCGAGATAACCAGCGTCGGAAAGGTCATCTACGAGACGGGCTGGGATGCCAACAAGCCAAAAGATCCGCCAAAGGGACAGCAGCTGGTCAAGACAGCCTCCAGCCTGCCACCCGTCCTGCCCGAGCATGACAAGCCCAAAGAGCAGGACGCTCCCAGGTCAAAGCGGGAGCAGATGCGGGACAATATGCAGGACTACATATTCACACGCTATTTCAACTATGTGAAGAACTACGACAAGGTGCTCGAGAAGAACTTCCCCAAGGCCATGCAGCTCTATCACGTCTTCTTTGATGGCGTGAAGGACTTTTTCAGCGACATGAAGCGCTTCCTGAAAATTTCCCGCATTGCCAACGACTCGCCGCAAGGGATCAGGGCATTGAATCGCCAGGAACTAGAGCTGTACATGATGATGCCGAGGGACATGATGAAGGTGGCACCGGCTCTAATTGGCTGCTCACTGCCGATGGTTGGCTATGCATTCTTTCCACTTGTGTAAGATCTTGACAATTAGCGTGGCTGCTACACTATTATAATGCCGGTTGGTTTACTTCGCAGCTTTTGGTATCCCCGCGTCTTTCTTACCTCGCACTTCTGGACTGCTGAGCAGCGCACCGACTTTCAAAATTACTACATGAAGCGACGACTGCAGTACAACAAGTCCGTCTTCCGGTGCCTGCAGGCCAAACTCAAATCGCTGTCTGGACACCCCAAGCATGCAGAGTTTAGGAAAATATTGGGCCTGATGGGCAGTGGCACTCACCCAACGCCAGAGATGCTTCTAGAAGTCAAGGATATATTTGTCGAGGGACCCTACTCGCTGCTGGGAATGTCGCGGAAACATGTCGTAAGACCCGTGATGATGAACCCCTTAGCATCCGCCATTCAAACCACTGTTTGTTGTACTGTTGTAGAAAAGCCTAGTCAATATGCACGGACTGCAGAATAGCATCTTTAAGCGACACCGCCTGCACGAGCACGCTTTCCTTGTGCACTACATGGACCAGGCCATAACCCGCGAGGGGGGTGTGCACAATTTGAGTCTGGATGCTTTGCGGTACTCCTGCTATCTGCGCGGCCTCAATCCAGTTAATCTCCGCGACGAGGAGATGATCGAATGGCTGCGCAACTGGGTCAAGGTCTCGACGTCGATACAAGGCGAGCATATCACTCTGTTCCTACATCTGCCCATCCTCCTTGGCTACAACCATCCCAGCAACTGGAAGACTATCTACTGCAAGGGCGAAGCCTAGGCATTTCTTGGTGCTAATTTACTTTGTAGACTGTGGCTTTAAGGATGGGACTGTAGACTATGGACTGTTACGACCATTTGGTTTCTTGATGGCAAATAAAATTGTTGAAAATCAAACTGATCTGACGTTTTGCGTTCCCCCAAAACAACACAGCAAAGAAAACTCGGCCACGTGCGTGTGTTTTTCCTAAAAATAACACTTTCTTTTATTTTCTCCATTGGTGGTGGATGTTCATCAAGCAGTTACTTTCGTTAATTTATTGTTTACTTCTTGGCCGCTGCCTTCTTGCCACCCTTGGCCTTCTCGGCACGCAGACGCTCACGGCGATCCTTCTTCAGGATGCGGGGAGTACCGTCGGACTTGGTGCGCTTCTTCAGTGTGTTGAAGGCAATGGTAAGCAGCTTGTTGCGCTGGCGCTTGGCATAGCGCAGCTTGAAGCGGTCAAAATCGTTCAATTGTGAGCGCTGCAAAGGATTAATTCACACACATTAGTACTAGAGCACACCACAAATACAAGAAGGGTGGCGGATGGTTATTATCTAAGACTGCGGTCAGTTAAAAACAAAGCTAGCTTCATGTATGTATCAGCCGGCAATTCCTATCAAGAACTTTCAATTATCATCATGTGCAGTAATATAGAATTAATATCCATCAACAATCATATACACACCTTGCAAATGTTCTGTGCCTTGACGGACCAGGGGCTGACCTTCCACTGGGCCTTCAGGTCGCTCTCTGTCCAGGCCTTGCGCACAATACGCGTGGGCGCGGTGAAGGGGAACTTGATGCGGTATTTGGTCAGATGCAGATTGTTCAATCTGTATTCCTGACGTGGAACACCGGTCAGAGGACCATCAACCAAAACCTACAAAGAAAAAAAACAGTCTTAGTTGTGTTGCTTTTAGGTTGGAGTTGGCGTCGCGTGCAGCAACAAAATCAGCGTCGCGTCGCTTGCATGCTTGCTTTCAGTGGGTTAAACTAGCTTCATTTATGTGTCAGTTGGCACTTCCTATCAAGAAGACAAATTATCATCATGTGCAAGTGGCAAGTGCCCCGCGCCTATTGTTGCTGCTGCTCCGCCTCCTCGGGCCGTCGCCACTTACTCTGTTTTGGTCAATGACGTCGACAATAGCCACCAGACGACCCTTCAAGGGGCCGGCCGAGGCCTTGGCAATGCGACCAGTTTGTACGAATCTCTCGAAAGGCTGCAAGCAAAGAAATATACATATATGAAATATTTATTCACAATTTAGTCTTCTGTCAATTCTGGCCAGCGCGTTGCTTGTGTTGGTGGACAGCACCACGTGAAAATGGTAAAACGCATTCCTTCCGAACGATATATCAGCGCAGGAGGTTGTTTTTATGTGTATGAACTCAACGTACTGGCCACTTCACATTTGTGCAATGTTTTATTCATCTCGCGACCGTTGCACCTTCTAATTTTACATTTTTCAACCGACTCGGAAAAAACTTTGTTAAATCTTACCATGACGCTAACCGGAAAGAAAGAGAAGGAAGGAACATTTTTGACAAGTCTGCGACAACATGGCGTGAGTGCTGAAAAACACGCAGAGTTGCATTATTTCTGCCAAAAGTTTGCAGCACTGTTACAAATTAGTCGCACTATTAGTGGTATTAATAGCCTTCCACAATACGGTAACTCGCAGAAAAAACAACCTATATTCTGAAATACTCAATTTTGGTATTTCTGTATATTATTACTAGTTAGTCCGGAATCTCAGCAGTGCAAATTTAAATTTATACGATAAGGGAGTCAATTTACTACAAGGATGGCCATTTTTTAGAACCTCCATTCGTTAATTTGTGGTAAAATATGGTTAAAACTAAAAAGTCGATAAAAATTTCTACTTAATTACTTTTTCTACATGGTAACAGCACGTAAGTTTTTCTACATGACTTCTACATGTATTAAAGCAACAAGGTTAGTCTGTAACGAGTCTTCAAAAATACTGAAAAATGCTAAAATACGCTAGAAAACAATTAAACTATCGCTCGTTCGATAGTAAAAATGGAGCATTTTTGGTGACCTTAGCATAAAGCTTATTTTATAAGTAATCCAAGAAATGAAAGTCCTTAAAATAATCCAGATTGAAGAAAATTGTTAAATTGTAAAATAGAACCTCAAAGATGAAATCTGTGAAATACACAGGATATTAAAAGAAGAATGGGAGAGAGAATACGCCGAGTTTGCCAGCGCCAAGCACAGAGGATACTGCTCGCTTTTTCCTTCTACCTTATCCAAACCATGGTTCCTAAACAAGACTAATCTGAAAGCCATTGACGCTAAAAGGATCAACAGACTGCTCAGCGGTAGCGCATTTGACGGGCACTCACTTGCCAAAATGCATGTTGTTCCAAGTAACATTTGTGATACATGCGATACTATCGATAACGCGTCGCACATAATTTTTAATTGTACCAAGTACAATACAACAAGACTAAACTTCCCATCTCTAAGAAATGTAATGATGTTTACAAATTCTTTGAAAAATAAAACATCAGCTCGTACCAAACATTAATCGACTTCATCGACAAAATTGATGTAAAACTGTAACAAGTTAGTTGTCTTCTTCGACTTGGCAATTTCCACCTTGCAAAGGCGGGCGGCCAAATAATCCCACGCTACTCAATGGTAGAGTGGGAACATAAAACCCCAAAAAACAAAAATTAAAAACAACATAAAAACGCCGCACTTCTGATATAATCGTTATTTTTATTGACAGACGCTTAACCAAAGTTGGTGAATTTGCGCAGAATGTAAGACATGGCTGCCGGATTATCGGCGGGCACCATGTGTCCCGCACGATTCACCCAGAACATGCTGAAATTTCCAGCCGTCTTCTCGTAGCCCTCTAGGACACGATCCACGGTGATGCCAACGCGCGGAGCAGCCAGGTAGGCCGCCTTGTCCGTCCACTCCATGTCGGCAATCCAATTGACAGCTCCTGGGGTGGCACAGATCAGGTCCAGGCCGCCGGAGAACACACCCACTCTGACGGTGGTGTTGCTCAGCAGTTCACCCACTGAAAGCAAAAACACTCAGCTGTATGACAGAAGATCCGGGCACAGTCAAGAGTCAGCCCTTACCAATGTGGACGGCAGGCTTCATGAAATCACCCATTAGCGAGGAGAAGGTTGCGCTGCTCTGTGCGCCCCACTTGACGCCAGTGGTGATGTTGAGGGCCTCTGTGACGGGGCCCTGCATCAACTCCTCGAGAAGCTTGTCCCGATCCTCGTCAATGTCGTAGTGCACTAAAGTGCGGTACATGAGCTCTGCCAGGAGAAATGATTAAAAAAGTCACTTTTGCTTTGACCAGGTTTCATGATCCTACCCTCTTGACTCATGGCCATTGACCTCAGCACGTACTTATCGCCAAGCGTCGGTGTCTCCACATTGTAGAAGTCGACGCCCTTCGACTCACGAAGCACCACCGACTGCGTGGAGCTCCACTGTAGTGTGGCCAGGGTCCAAAGCTCACGGTCTACATATCTCTTGGTCGATGCGGCCGAAGACTCGATCTTGTCATGGCCATCCTGATCAACGATGCCCAGCTGAAGGAGAAACGAAGCCCAGGAGAGCACGGAATCGATGGGCGATGTCCACGGATCACCCAATCCAACCGACACCAAGTTACTATCGATCTCACCGCGCTGAATGGCATAGTACAGCTCCAGAGCGAACTCTGGGGCCATCTTTCCGCCGTAGCTCTCGCAGAAGATGTGCAAGGGCACAGCCTTGAACTCCGGATGATTCTCATAAAAGCCCTTCATCAGCTCCACCAGATCCAGGGCGATCTGCTTGTTCGTCGTCGTATAATACGATGAGTTGTCGACGTAGCTGAAGCCGCTACCCACGGGATTGTCGATGAACATCACGTTCATGTCTTTGGCCCAGTTCCACTCGCGGTAGCTTCCGTCAAGCTTCAGCGGCCCCAGCTCCTCGAAGTTGCCATAGCCAGTAGACGAGGCACCTGGTCCTCCTTGCAGCCAAATGGCCAGGGGACGTTCCGTGTAGCTGGATACATTGGCCGTGGTGTAGTAGAGCCAATAGAACATGTGTGCACCCGTTCGCACATCAACGAATCCCCAATCCTGTTCCCCGGGTCCATAACCTTGGCGGGCTGTGAATAAAGGCAGGAGCAAACACTTAGCTTAGTCAACACTCGATCGATCAGCTTCTATACCAAATTTTAGCCATATTTAAAAAATATCTAGAGAGCTAAAAATCATTCTTATATTCCGTAGATACTAGTAACTGGCTCTTGGAACCTATAACATCAAACGTTCGTGTGGCTACTTCAAAACTGGCCAAACTGCTGGTACCTTATAAATTAAAAGATAAGTTTTAATTTCTGTGGAACAATTGACTCTAATCGGGCACTAGAACGATTCATGCCCCAATTAAAGCAACTCAAGCATCCACTCGATGTTTCCGATAGAGATAAATTATTAAATCTCAAGAGTATATCAATTCCTCAGATTATTCTCCATCTATGCAACCTACAAGATGGTCGATTCTGCTCTGTTCGTCATCCACAACCATAAAGATTTTTCTTTTCTTCTTTTGGATAACTTTCTCGTTCATTAACACCTAATGCGTTATTGTGATTTGTGTATTTGTGATCGGAATACAAAGTGTTTCCACTGGCTCCAATCCAATCAATTGAGGGCGACACACTCACCATTGACAGAGCCAAAGCTGCAGAGCGCTAGACAAAGCGCGGCAACAGCGGCGATAAGAAGTCGGGCCATGTTGCACTAGTTTTCCCTCTAGCTCGAATTTGAAGTACCTTTGAAGCCCAACCGATCGCTTGGCAGTTCGACTACTGTCTGATCGCTGGCCAGGCCAAGACCAACGAAAGTTACCAATGCTGCACGCAGACGGCCACACATATCTTTGAGCAGAGTTTGTAATCTACAAGTGGGGATGGCATGCGGCTGCCGCAGCTATCACTATTTATGACCCTTAGTGGATGTCATGGCGATGACAATGACGCGGCCCACTGGTAATTATCTCTATGACATTTGTCAATTTTGGCAAATCTTCATCACTCGATATGGAAAAGCCTTTAAGCGTACGTCCCAACTATCTAGACAGAACATAATTTTTATTTTCATTTTTATTGCACTTTATGTAAGAACAAATGTTCATGTTGTCTAGCCGAAGGTTGTGAACTCGCGCAAGACATGGCTCATGGCGGCGGGATTATCGGCGGGAGCCATATGTCCGGATCGATTGATCCAGAACATGGTAAAGTTGCCGCCAGTCTTCTGGTAGCCCTCCAGAATACGATCCACGCTGATGGCGGTGCGCGAAGCAGCCAAATACTCGCTCTTTCGGCTCCACTCTAGCTTGGCTATCCAGTTGACGGTGCCGGGTGTGGCGCAGATTAGATCCAGGCCGCCAGAAAAGACGCCCACTTTGAGCGGAGTCTTCTCCAGCAATTCATTAACTGTGGATTGGTATAAAGATTAAATAGCTATCAGCCAGAAGTAATATCTTTAAGGTTCCTTACCAATATGTATAACGGGCTTCATGAAGTCCGTTCGGTGTATGTCAAAGGTGCTGCTGCTCTGCGATCCCCACTTGACATTCGATGGTATGCCCAGGGTCTCGGCCACAGGACCACGCATCAGTTCTTCCAGCAGCTGATCGCGATCTTCGTCAATGTCAAACTTCACCACGGTGCGGTACTGTCGTTCTGGCAGGAGATCCATTTTATATCACGATTTTAGGCTTACTTCCAAGCACTCACCTTCAGGTGTCATGGCCAGCTGCCTCTGGAATCGGTCGCCGAGGGTCTCCTTCAAAACATTGTAAAAGTCAACACCTTTGGAGGCCTTCATCACCTCCCACTGGGTGTTGCCCCACTGAGCAGTGGCCTGGATCCAGCGCTCTGCTTCCACCAGCTCGGCAGTAAAGTTTGCCGCCGCCGTAATCGCATCGTAACCGTCGTGGTCGACAATTCCCATCTCTCTGAGCAGTGGACCCCAGGCCAGAACCGAATCAATTGGCGATGTCCACGGATCACCCAAGGCAACGGACGTTAGATTGCTCTTCACCTCGCCACGCTCCTTGGCATAGTACAGCTCCAGGGCGAACTCAGGGGCCATCTTGCCGCCATAGCTCTCGCAGAAGATGTGCAGGGGAACCGCCTCGAACTCCGGGTGGAGCTTATAGAATCCTTTCATGAGCTCCACCAGATCTAAGGCGATCTCCTTGTTGGTGGCCGTGTGATAAGCCGTACCGTCCACATAACTGTAGCCACTGCCAACAGGATTGTCAATGAACATGACGTTCATGTCCTTGACCCAGGTCCAGTTGCGGTAATCGCCGTACAGGTCGACGGGTCCCAGCTCCTCGAAGTTGCCATAGCCAGTAGACGAGGCACCTGGTCCTCCTTGCAACCAAATGGCCAGGGGACGTTCCGTATAGCTGGATACATTGGCCGTCGTATAGTAGAGCCAATAGAACATGTGGGCGCCTGGACGTACGTCGACGAATCCCCAATCCTGATCTCCCGGTCCATATCCGGCCTTGCCTACGGTTTGCAATTGTTTGTGTGAGCGATAGATAGATAGATAGAACGTAAGACGGTGATTTATGGACGCGACTTACCATGTGCCAAGGCCGCGAAGCACGCAAGCAATATCACTACCAGGCCAGTCATCTTTTCCACTTGGCACTCACACGAGCTGAATGGAACACTTTGAACATGGCCGAGGCGGTGGGGCTCATTTAAAGGGAAAATCTTATCTATCCAGCCCGCGTAAGCAGTTATCGTAAGCACCTCTGTGGAATTCGAGCAGTTGTGGGTCTGGCAACGTCGCAGCGTCGAGAATGCTACCCGAGAGGCGGGATTCATCTGTCTTAACAACCCATCCCAATTCTCAGTTCTTGACCTTTCCTTTTCCAATCACAGAAATGGCAATATTTCCTGGCAAGTCCTTCAATCCAAAATAACGAATAGCAACCACTTCCCAATAGTTATAACAGTCGAAGGTCTAGATGCTACGCCTCAAGAAAAGAAAGTGCTGCACAATAGAACGAGGAACGAGGAAACAGAGAAACTTTTTTGCGTGAGAAACGCTTGTAGACAAAAATTCTATCGGAAAAAAAAATTGGAAGATGCCAGAGCTATCCTAGAAGCCGACCACAACCTTCAATTGCAGATCAAAAATCGCAGAAGAGTAAACTTCTCCAAATTCATTGAAGAGGTATTCTCATCGCCCTCCATGTGGAGCCGGGTGAAGAATCTCAAGTACGGTCAAGTCAAAAATGCAGGGAACACATGGACAGAAGAAGACGACAAAAGCTTTTTGAAAATGGTTAAAGAAACCCCATCCACTGCCAACAGTAGACCCCCAGACAACCGTTTCCCCCCATCCATTCAGGATAATTTTATTGCCTACAAAATCAGAGAAAAGATCAGTCACAACCACTATCTAAAGTCGGTAGAAGTTCACTACATACCCTTCCACTCCGGGTTCCTAAACAAGACTAATCTGAAAGCCATTGACGCTAAAAGGATCAACAGACTGCTCAGCGGTAGCGCATTTGACGGGCACACACTTGCCAAAATGCATGTTGTTCCAAGTAACATTTGTGATACATGCGATACTATCGATAACGCCTCGCACATAATTTTTAATTGTACCAAGTACAATACAACAAGACTAAACTTCCCATCTCTAAGAAAATATAATGATATTTACAAATTCTTTGAAAAAGAAAACATCAGCTCGTACCAAACATTAATCGACTTCTTCGACCAAATTGATATAAAACTGTAACAAGTTGTCTTCTTCTTCGACTTGGCAATTTCCACCTTGCAAAGGCGGGCGGCCAAATAATCCCACGCTACTCAATGGTAGAGTGGGAACATAAAACCCCAAAAAACAAAAATTAAAAACAACATAAAAACGCCGCACTTCTGATATAATCGTTATTTTTATTGACAGACGCTTAACCAAAGTTGGTGAATTTGCGCAGAATGTAAGACATGGCTGCCGGATTATCGGCGGGCACCATGTGTCCCGCACGATTCACCCAGAACATGCTGAAATTTCCAGCCGTCTTCTCGTAGCCCTCTAGGACACGATCCACGGTGATGCCAACGCGCGGAGCAGCCAGGTAGGCCGCCTTGTCCGTCCACTCCATGTCGGCAATCCAATTGACAGCTCCTGGGGTGGCACAGATCAGGTCCAGGCCGCCGGAGAACACACCCACTCTGACGGTGGTGTTGCTCAGCAGTTCACCCACTGAAAGCAAAAACACTCAGCTGTATGACAGAAGATCCGGGCACAGTCAAGAGTCAGCCCTTACCAATGTGGACGGCAGGCTTCATGAAATCACCCATTAGCGAGGAGAAGGTTGCGCTGCTCTGTGCGCCCCACTTGACGCCAGTGGTGATGTTGAGGGCCTCTGTGACGGGGCCCTGCATCAACTCCTCGAGAAGCTTGTCCCGATCCTCGTCAATGTCGTAGTGCACTAAAGTGCGGTACATGAGCTCTGCCAGGAGAAATGATTAAAAAAGTCACTTTTGCTTTGACCAGGTTTCATGATCCTACCCTCTTGACTCATGGCCATTGACCTCAGCACGTACTTATCGCCAAGCGTCGGTGTCTCCACATTGTAGAAGTCGACGCCCTTCGACTCACGAAGCACCACCGACTGCGTGGAGCTCCACTGTAGTGTGGCCAGGGTCCAAAGCTCACGGTCTACATATCTCTTGGTCGATGCGGCCGAAGACTCGATCTTGTCATGGCCATCCTGATCAACGATGCCCAGCTGAAGGAGAAACGAAGCCCAGGAGAGCACGGAATCGATGGGCGATGTCCACGGATCACCCAATCCAACCGACACCAAGTTACTATCGATCTCACCGCGCTGAATGGCATAGTACAGCTCCAGAGCGAACTCTGGGGCCATCTTTCCGCCGTAGCTCTCGCAGAAGATGTGCAAGGGCACAGCCTTGAACTCCGGATGATTCTCATAAAAGCCCTTCATCAGCTCCACCAGATCCAGGGCGATCTGCTTGTTCGTCGTCGTATAATACGATGAGTTGTCGACGTAGCTGAAGCCGCTACCCACGGGATTGTCGATGAACATCACGTTCATGTCTTTGGCCCAGTTCCACTCGCGGTAGCTTCCGTCAAGCTTCAGCGGCCCCAGCTCCTCGAAGTTGCCATAGCCAGTAGACGAGGCACCTGGTCCTCCTTGCAGCCAAATGGCCAGGGGACGTTCCGTGTAGCTGGATACATTGGCCGTGGTGTAGTAGAGCCAATAGAACATGTGTGCACCCGTTCGCACATCAACGAATCCCCAATCCTGTTCCCGGGTCCATAACCTTGGCGGGCTGTGAATAAAGGCAGGAGCAAACACTTAGCTTAGTCAACACTCGATCGATCAGCTTCTATACCAAATTTTAGCCATATTTAAAAAATATCTAGAGAGCTAAAAATCATTCTTATATTCCGTAGATACTAGTAACTGGCTCTTGGAACCTATAACATCAAACGTTCGTGTGGCTACTTCAAAACTGGCCAAACTGCTGGTACCTTATAAATTAAAAGATAAGTTTTAATTTCTGTGGAACAATTGACTCTAATCGGGCACTAGAACGATTCATGCCCCAATTAAAGCAACTCAAGCATCCACTCGATGTTTCCGATAGAGATAAATTATTAAATCTCAAGAGTATATCAATTCCTCAGATTATTCTCCATCTATGCAACCTACAAGATGGTCGATTCTGCTCTGTTCGTCATCCACAACCATAAAGATTTTTCTTTTCTTCTTTTGGATAACTTTCTCGTTCATTAACACCTAATGCGTTATTGTGATTTGTGTATTTGTGATCGGAATACAAAGTGTTTCCACTGGCTCCAATCCAATCAATTGAGGGCGACACACTCACCATTGACAGAGCCAAAGCTGCAGAGCGCTAGACAAAGCGCGGCAACAGCGGCGATAAGAAGTCGGGCCATGTTCCACTAGTTTTCCCTCTAGGTCGAATTTGAAGTACCTCTGAAGCCCAACCGATCGCTTGGCAGTTCGACTACTGTCTGATCGCTGGCCAGGCCAAGACCAACGAAAGTTACCAACGCTGCACGCAGACGGCCACACATATCTTTGAGCAGAGTTTGTAATCTACAAGTGGGGATGGCATGCGGCTGCCGCAGCTATCACTATTTATGACCCTTAGTGGATGTCATGGCGATGACAATGACGCGGCCCACTGGTAATTATCTCTATGACATTTGTCAATTTTGGCAAATCTTCATCACTCGATATGGAAAAGCCTTTAAGCGTACGTCACAACTATCTAGACAGAACATAATTTTTATTTTCCTTTTTATTGCACTTTATGTAAGAACAAATGTTCATGTTGTCTAGCCGAAGGTTGTGAACTCGCGCAAGACATGGCTCATGGCGGCGGGATTATCGGCGGGAGCCATATGTCCGGATCGATTGATCCAGAACATGGTAAAGTTGCCGCCAGTCTTCTGGTAGCCCTCCAGAATACGATCCACGCTGATGGCGGTGCGCGAAGCAGCCAAATACTCGCTCTTTCGGCTCCACTCTAGCTTGGCTATCCAGTTGACGGTGCCGGGTGTGGCGCAGATTAGATCCAGGCCGCCAGAAAAGACGCCCACTTTGAGCGGAGTCTTCTCCAGCAATTCATTAACTGTGGATTGGTATAAAGATTAAATAGCTATCAGCCAGAAGTAATATCTTTAAGGTTCCTTACCAATATGTATAACGGGCTTCATGAAGTCCGTTCGGTGTATGTCAAAGGTGCTGCTGCTCTGCGATCCCCACTTGACATTCGATGGTATGCCCAGGGTCTCGGCCACAGGACCACGCATCAGTTCTTCCAGCAGCTGATCGCGATCTTCGTCAATGTCAAACTTCACCACGGTGCGGTACTGTCGTTCTGGCAGGAGATCCATTTTATATCACGATTTTAGGCTTACTTCCAAGCACTCACCTTCAGGTGTCATGGCCAGCTGCCTCTGGAATCGGTCGCCGAGGGTCTCCTTCAAAACATTGTAAAAGTCAACACCTTTGGAGGCCTTCATCACCTCCCACTGGGTGTTGCCCCACTGAGCAGTGGCCTGGATCCAGCGCTCTGCTTCCACCAGCTCGGCAGTAAAGTTTGCCGCCGCCGTAATCGCATCGTAACCGTCGTGGTCGACAATTCCCATCTCTCTGAGCAGTGGACCCCAGGCCAGAACCGAATCAATTGGCGATGTCCACGGATCACCCAAGGCAACGGACGTTAGATTGCTCTTCACCTCGCCACGCTCCTTGGCATAGTACAGCTCCAGGGCGAACTCAGGGGCCATCTTGCCGCCATAGCTCTCGCAGAAGATGTGCAGGGGAACCGCCTCGAACTCCGGGTGGAGCTTATAGAATCCTTTCATGAGCTCCACCAGATCTAAGGCGATCTCCTTGTTGGTGGCCGTGTGATAAGCCGTACCGTCCACATAACTGTAGCCACTGCCAACAGGATTGTCAATGAACATGACGTTCATGTCCTTGACCCAGGTCCAGTTGCGGTAATCGCCGTACAGGTCGACGGGTCCCAGCTCCTCGAAGTTGCCATAGCCAGTAGACGAGGCACCTGGTCCTCCTTGCAGCCAAATGGCCAGGGGACGTTCCGTATAGCTGGATACATTGGCCGTCGTATAGTAGAGCCAATAGAACATGTGGGCGCCTGGACGTACGTCGACGAATCCCCAATCCTGATCTCCCGGTCCATATCCGGCCTTGCCTACGGTTTGCAATTGTTTGTGTGAGCGATAGATAGATAGATAGATCGTAAGACGGTGATTTATGGACGCGACTTACCATGTGCCAAGGCCGCGAAGCACGCAAGCAATATCACTACCAGGCCAGTCATCTTTTCCACTTGGCACTCACACGAGCTGAATGGAACACTTTGAACATGGCCGAGGCGGTGGGGCTCATTTAAAGGGAAAATCTTATCTATCCAGCCCGCGTAAGCAGTTATCGTAAGCACCTCTGTGGAATTCGAGCAGTTGTGGGTCTGGCAACGTCGCAGCGTCGAGAATGCTACCCGAGAGGCGGGATTCATCTGTCTTAACAACCCATCCCAATTCTCAGTTCTTGACCTTTCCTTTTCCAATCACAGAAATGGCAATATTTCCTGGCAAGTCCTTCAATCCAAAATAACGAATAGCAACCACTTCCCAATAGTTATAACAGTCGAAGGTCTAGATGCTACGCCTCAAGAAAAGAAAGTGCTGCACAATAGAACGAGGAACGAGGAAACAGAGAAACTTTTTTGCGTGAGAAACGCTTGTAGACCAAAATTCTATAGGACAAAAAAATTTGAGTGCTATCCTAGAAGCCGACCACAACCTTCAATTGCAGATCAAAAATCGCAGAAGAGTAAACTTCTCCAAATTCATTGAAGAGGTATTCTCATCGCCCTCCATGTGGAGCCGGGTGAAGAATCTCAAGTACGGTCAAGTCAAAAATGCAGGGAACACATGGACAGAAGAAGACGACAAAAGCATTTTGAAAATGGTTAAAGAAACCCCCATCCACTGCCAACAGTAGACCCCCAGACAACAGTTTCCCCCCATCCATTCAGGATAATTTTATTGCCTACAAATCAGAGAAAAGATCAGTCACAACCACTATCTAAAGTCGGTAGAAGTTCACTACATACCCGGCCACGCCGGGTTCCCAAACAAGACTAATCTGAAAGCCATTGACGCTAAAAGGATCAACAGACTGCTCAGCGGTAGCGCATTTGACGGGCACACACTTGCCAAAATGCATGTTGTTCCAAGTAACATTTGTGATACATGCGATACTATCGATAACGCCTCGCACATAATTTTTAATTGTACCAAGTACAATACAACAAGACTAAACTTCCCATCTCTAAGAAATGTAATGATGTTTACAAATTCTTTGAAAAAGAAAACATCAGCTCGTACCAAACATTAATCGACTTCTTCGACCAAATTGATATAAAACTGTAACAAGTTGTCTTCTTCTTCGACTTGGCAATTTCCACCTTGCAAAGGCGGGCGGCCAAATAATCCCACGCTACTCAAGGGTAGAGTGATAACAAAAAACCCCAAAAAAAAAATAAAAACAACACAAATAGTGCTTTAAACCAGAGGAAACGCTGTCAGAATGGTTTACATACACTTTCCTACTAATTTAACTGAGGAGGAGCAGATGCTTCAAGCAAAATACCAGAAGCTAAAGAAGAAGGTGGGGGGACGCAGTCCCAACTAAAACGAGTTCCTGCCTGATTTCACTGTAATGTAATTATTTATTTTGCAGAAAAAGGCACTACAGGCCCACAAGGCACCCAAGCCGGAGCCGGAGAGCTCGATGACGTTAAAACGACCCACGGATGCGCGCGATGCACGCGAGGTGGCCCGCAAGCTGATCAAGAGCGGCGCCATACCAGCCATACAAAAACAGCAAACAAAGCAGGATCAAACCTCGTTCAAGCGGCCAAAGGGTCAGGAACGTGCCAAGCGCTCCACATCGGAGACCACCGTGGCGTCCTACCAGCCCTTCTCCTCCACTCAGAACGATGTGGCCCAGGAGACCATCATCAGCGAGATTATCAAGGAGGAGCCACGGCGCCAGAATTTGTATCAGCATTTTGCCACTGAGCGTGACCGGGAAGAGCGCGCCATGGCTGAGAAGGCGGTGGCCATTGATACGCCACCGCCGGAGAAGCCGCGTGCTGGCAACACCATATTTGTGTCGGGCAATAAGGTAACCGAGGATTTCTTAAAGAAAACCTTCAACGATTATGGCACAATTGTGAATGTATCGATGGAGATTGAAAAGAGGTAAATAGTGGGGTTATTTCTTTATTGAATCTCGATTAATATATTTATTGGTAACTCACTTTGCAGTCGCGGCTTCGTCTCCTTTGCCAAGCCAGAGTCGGCAGATCGGGCCATTGCTGAAATGCATGGCAAGAATGTGAGCGGCATTGTGCTGCAGGTGCAATTGGCTCGACGCCAGCCGCAAATCGAACCCATTAATGATGCCTCCTCATCGGCAGTATGGTCGTCTATTGGTAAGTGTCTCAAGTTTTGTATTTAAATGGTAAATTCCTAATGTTCATGTGCCCGTTCAGCTGCCAGCAAATCGCAAAAGGGAAGCCACAAAGACCATCGTGAAATGGTTAAGTACAACGACGATTTCTTGCTCTAAGTGGCGGTATAGTCGGGACAATCCAATCCAATCTTATTCAATAATAAACCAAACCAATAAGCATAATTTATTTGTATATCGTTTTGCTTTATTGAAAATACGCTTCTATATGTTTATGTATATATATAATATAATGCTCTCTCCTCTCCACTGCTAAGTACTCGCATTTCAAATTATAACTTTTAAGTGAATTCAATGAAAAAGAGTTTTATGTTTTTTGTTTTGGTTTTTATATATTAATTTCTACGCTTTGGTCTAGATTAAACAACAATTTGTCCAACAATTGAATCTCTTTTCGCGTTCCCCCTCGCTGGTAGAAAATAAATATGTGTTTATTTGATTAGTTCTCCTTCCCATTCCTTTCGCATTTTTTTTCCTTGCTCTCCCTACCATAGTTAAAGGCAGCTACTAAAAAATGTCTATGTACATACATAGCATGCGTTAAGTACATAACTAATACATAATCGTTGCCTCTGCTGGTTCAGCTTCTGTTTCGACTGTTCCTGTTGTTGTTCTTCTGCTGCTGCTTCTGCCGCTGCTGCACTGGTAGACTGGTGGGTGATGTAAATTATAGATCCCCTTTTATGGATAGTAGGAGTTCTTTATAGTTAGTACAAGATACAAGTTGTATGGCTTATGGTTTAGCACGGGCACTGCACATGTGTCTGTTGAACTGGGATTCCGGGTTTCGATTCGTTTCGATTCGATTCGATTGTTCTGTGACTAGTAGTAGCACGAGTAGTGGCAACGCCCCCCACCGTCGTCGCACCTCTCCTAAAGTAGTTGCTAGTTCTCACCGTATTGTTGTTAGTATGTATGTATGTATGTATGTATATCATTAAGGCCTTCTAGTTTCGAGCGGGCTCTTGGCCGCGTTTAAATTCGTTTGTTTTTCACCCATTAAGCAAAAAATTCTCTGCTCCAAAATGCAAAATGCAAACCCGCCCCTCTCCCCCCAAGGATAGTGCGTGACAAGCCCACGGATGATGGGATCGATCTCCACTGCCCTCACGTCTGCCTGCCCTCGTTCCCGGGCGGATTGAAGTAGTCCCAGTGATGGGTGTGCACCTGTCGTCCGGTGAGCAGAAAGACAAGCACTCCGAACGTGATCAGAATGAAGAGCACCATGAGGGCGGATATGTTCCGCGACTGCTGCTGCTGCTGCGGCTCCATGGCCTCGCCGCGCACGTAGTGCGTCAGCTGGTTGATGATGCTCACCAGCTCCAGGCTGCAGGCGGATATGAACTGCCGTCCCGCCTGCACGACAGTGCGGGGCTGATCCTCATCGTACTCCTCGGGCGGCTGAGTGGCGCTCCTAGTGCGCGAGCGACGCGAGGAACGCGAGCGTGGTCTTTCCACCAGCTGATCCTCCAGCTCAGAGCCCGACTCGGGCTCGGCCTGCTCTTGGACATGGCGACGCCGGCACTTGTGCGGCGCCTTGCGCTCTGTGGAGGCTGCTCCCTCGGCCTGTTCGGCCTCAGCGCTGCGCTGCAGATTGTAGAAGGCCAACGGTGCCAGGGACTGCAAATACTCGACACTGGGATACGCGGCTGGTGGCGGTGGCAGAGGCATCAGCCCGGCTTCTGTCTGGGTCTGTTCGTCCAAGTTCGGAGGCGACTGCTCGGTGGCCTTGCTCTGGCGCGGCGGCTTAACGGGCTGCTCCACATCCGAGTTGGCCGGCTCACTGCTGGCCTGGCGGCTGGTCTGCGTTTCGGTGGTGAGCAGCGAGGGACGCTGCTCCCGCACGCGTTCTACAATGTCGTCGATGAATCCTGGCGGGAGCTCGATGCTCTGGACCACCAATTGACCGGACTTGCACTCCAGGTCGTCTGCTTTGATGTGGCTGCCGTGCAGCTGCGAGACTTGGATCTGGCCTGCCTGCAGGGCATGGACACGCAGTCGCTCCACCTCCAGCTCGGCCAAGCGAGTGGGTAGCTGCGGCTCTGGCGGCGATTGCAGGGACTGTACAGGCGTTAGCTCTCGGGCCGATTGCTCAGCGATCGTCAGAGTGGTGGCTGCTGCTGCTGCTGCTACTGCTGCTGCTGCTGCGGTGGGCTCGAGGGTTGTGGTGGACTTGCGACGTGGTGGTGGCAGGGGCACATCTTCCGGCTCTTCGTCATCCAGTTCGTCGTGGCCGTAGGCGGGTTCTGTGGGCAGAGTGGCCACAAATTTGGGCGTAACTTCGGCCTCGGTGGGTTCGCTGGCGGTAATTTTCCGGATGGGCTTCTCCACGGCTTCCAGGGCTTCGTCTTCGGAGTGGCGGGACTCGATCTCGGAGGGAGCGTACTCCTTCTCTTCCGACAGCGTGTCCTTCTCGGTTTGCCTGTAGTCCGTGAGCTCCTTCTCCATGGCCTCCTGCAGCTCCTTCTCGAGCGCCTCGTCCAGCTCCTGCTCCGTGAGCTCCCTCTCCAGTCGTGTCTCTTCATCCGTCTCCTCTTCCTCCTCATACTGATCCGAGTACTCACTGTCCCTGAGGGTGCGCTCCACCTCGTCGTCCTCCAGCCGGCTCTCGTAGTCGCTTTCCAGCTGGGTCTGCTGCAGCTGCTCCACCGCCGCATCCAGATCCGCCGAGCTGGCAGCATAGTCGCTCAGGGCCACGGCCCCCTCTCCGCGATCCTCGTCCTCCACATCGGACTTGCTCTGCACCGAGCTGTCCGAGAGCAGACCCTCCCGCCGCAGCTCCTCTTCCTCGCGTCGCAGCTCCTCATCCGCCAGATCGGCGGCACTGATGGGTCGCACTATCAGCGAGGCCTGCACAGTGTCATCCTGCTCCTCGCCAGCCACCAGACTGGGCGTGGGGACGCGTCGCTCAATGACCACCGCCGAGGATGGCGTCTGAGGGCGACTCAGCGACTTGGAACGGTCCGCCTGAGAGGACGAGGCCCGAGAGCGCTCCGACATGCTCCGCTGGTTGGCATCCCTGAAGCGCTGCAGGCCCTTCGCCAACTGCTCGTCCTCTGTTAGCACACGGACGCCGTCCACCTCGTCCTGCGTCTCCTGGGTCTCGACGCTGCGCAACAGATCCTCGAGGGTCTTGCTGGCCGATCCATTCGATCCGTTGGCTCGCCGCGGCTCAATGACCTTCATGTCCTCCGTGATCTCGAACTCCTCGCAGACGAAGTCGTCGGGCAGCGGGTCCGTCTGTGTGGACACCTCCACCTCGAACTCGCCCTGCTGGTCGTAGCTGTCCGCCTGGCTGGAGCTGGCAACCTGTTCGCTGTCCTCGTAGCTGTCGAGGGCATTGCTGCCAGCGCGCGTTGAGCGCTTCTCGCGCGGTGGACGCGGTGGCGCTGGCAGAGGTCGGAACTTCATTTTGTTGATGACCTCGCCGGACTGCAGATTGGAGCGTGGCGATTCTGGTCGCTCCAATGCTCCGGGCTCCTCGTAGTCATCCTCCTCCTTCTCCGGCTGCTGTTGCTTCTGTGTCTCGTAGCTGGGGGGAAAAGGTTGGATGTGGGAGGTGCATTAGATACATCTGGGGCTTGGGCTTGTGCTTGGGCTTGGGCCCTTCCGTGCAAGCGGCAATCGGCAATCGGCAAAAGGCAAAAAAGGCAACCGGATGCAGGCCAACTCTTGTGTCTTGGAAGTGGAAGTGGAGTGGATTCGTGTGTATCGTGTATTTATGTTTTATTTGGGTGTACGAGTACGAGTACGTGTCCCGAGTGGTTTCGATTCGATTCGATTCGGGTCGGATTAGTAGCAGGAGCAATAGCAATAGCATTAGCATTAGCATTAGCTGTGCGTCTAATCCTTGGTCTTAGCCTAAACTTAGTCTACAACTTAGTGGCAACAACAGAAATGAAAACTTAACAGGAAAAACTTAACGAAAATGCATTCGAAACGCAACGAAAGTCAAAGTTACGAAAAAATCAATCGAAAATCGAAATCAATCGGCCATCGCAACGCAAAAGGCAACAAAAAGGCGACTCGACCGACGGCTGCTCTTACTTCGACTTGATCATCATCTGTGGGATCTCGTCCAGACTGGCCGCCGATCTGCGGCGTGGCACCAGCGGCGAGGGCGAGTCCTCCGTGGGTATATACTGCTGTGGCGGCGGCGGCCTGGCCGGCGGTGGGGAGCCACGTGAGCCGCGTATGCTGGGCAGCGTCGCGAATCGCTCGCCGGGCGATCGGGTGAACTTCTTGCGGCGGGCCGGCGGCGTGGGCTTGGGAAGGGGCTCCTTGCGCACCACCGCGTAGCTGAAAGGAAGCGAGCAAGAAAGCCACACATAGCGGAACATCCGTGACAGACATCTAGCAGCTAACAATGCTCACCCGTCGCTCTCCAGCATGTCAATGACGAACCTCTCGTCGCTCTTGGTCCTGGATGCTCCCTCCTCGTTGTCCTCCCCCAACTCGGGCCGTGTCTTCATGTCCAGCACCAGCGAGTCGGCACCGCGTGAGGTGCGATCGTCCTCGGACCGGGGTGTACGCACGGACGCCCCGTCCGTGAAGTTGTCGGGCGTGGCTAGCGGTATGTGACGATATTCGTGCTCAGTGCGATAAACAATTACCTGGGTAATTGGAATCAGATTTAGAATCGGAATGGAAATGGAAATACTTTATAGATCGAATTCCAGTGTTGGGTAAACATCGTTCGTTCGTTATTGTGTATTCAGTCACTAGCCATTCAGAATAATATACTGGGTAATACATGAATTAGGCTACGGATTGGTCGCTCAGCCACCCTCTTCTCTGGATTAAGTCCCTAGTGACTATTTTTTTTTTCAAACCTCAGGCGAACAAGGCTCGGCGGGAAAAGATTTGAGTTCAAATCTATAACCTATTTAATCGACAATCCAATTTTTAGAAAGGGATACACAACTGGGAGAAAAAGCATAAAGAGCTAAAAGAGGATTATGTAGATAAATAAAAAAGAATAATTAAAAAAAAGTAATTTTCTCTTAGATAGGCCGCCTATTTATCAGACCACCCTCGCCTCGTATTTTCATTTAAGCGACATTTTAAAATAGATTTGTTTGCCCTTAAACTTTCTTGCCAGGGTCCTCCACGACAAAATGTGAGAAACGAACATGAACGAAAAAGAACGAAGAAAGAAGAACGACTAAGACAAACTCATTCAGTTCATTCACTTAATTAAATAGTTGTTTTTTGTTCGTTCAGTCATGAACCATGGACCCAACCATTGGAGCAACCATGGACCCAGCTGTAGTCCCCGCTCTGCTTGATACTTACATCTTCGTGTGGCTGCAAAAAGGTATTCGATACTGATCTACCACCAAAGCCATTAAAGAACGAGTCCGCATCCTTCTCAGCGGATGCATCATCGCGTGTGCGTTTCTTGTGGCGCCTCGGGGCCAGCGGTAGGGCCTGTGGTCCCACCTTTTCCGTCGTCGTCGCCGCCGCTTCCTTGTCCAATTCGCTGACCTGCTGATCCCGCGTGGGTGGCCGCAGGTACTCCTCATCGTCGTCAAAGTACTGAATGCTGCTGCTGGCCCCATCGCCCATGTGCATGTCCTGGCTGCCGTCCACGGACAGCTTGCTGCGGCTGCGGCTGCGAGCCTTGCGCAGAGGCCTCTTCGGCGCAAAGTCGCTGCCGTTCTGAGACATGGACAGATCGTCGCCGTAGTCGCTGCGCTGGAACTCCTGCGAGTCGTCAATGTCCGGCCGATAGTTGCGATGCAGGCGGCGTGGCTTGGCCGGCGCTGCCTCAAAGTCTCCGTATTCCCCCGGGGCGGGTTCTGCGGAGTAGCCCACGTGCTGCAGGGCATTGGGCATGTCGTAGCCCTCGCGAATGGCCGCGCTGATGTACTGCCGCAGCTGGATGTTGTCCTCGGAGATGCCGCGCTTGCGCAGGAAGAACTCGTCGTCGTCGATGGGCTCCATCACCACCTTCTTGCCCGAACTGGCCGTCGAGTGGCTATCGTAGTACTTGTGGTAGCCAGCCTCCGCCTCCAGCTCCGCCTTGCGCAGCAGCTTGTTCTTCTGTATGTCCTTCTCCGTCCAGCCCTCGGCGTCGCGACTGTCCTCCGAGCGCAAATCAGAGTCCTGATGCACCATCGGTCGGCGCTTGAACTCGCGCGACCGCTTGCTGGAGATCTCGTGGATGGCTCGATTCTCCTCATCGAACTCCGCAAACTGTTTGCTGTCGGCCACCACGCCCAGAATTCCCATTGTCTGGGGCTGCTGGGCCTCGCTGGCCGTGTCCTCGCCCCCCTCCAGATCCTCCTTCATGCGCCGCTCCAGCGAGGACTCGCGGTCGAAGCTCTCCAGCTCGCTGCCGTAGCGCCTGTAGCGCGATCCCTCGCTGTCGTTGTAGCTCACGTCCGAGAACTTGTCCGCCCAGCGGGACCGCACCGGACCAGGTCCGCGGTCTCCTTGCGGCGAGCTGGTAGACGTCTGCGATGGCTGCGTCTCGGTGCTGGGTATCACGCTGAGGCTAAGTCTCTCCGTGCCCAGCGAAGACTCCAAAGCGGGCGGTGGTGGTGGCTCCTCTGTGGGCTTCTTCTTGCGGAAGGCACGCGGATAGGTGCCAAAGTTGAACTCGAATTTCTTCTTGGGCGCTGACTGGGCAGGCGCTTCGCCTCCTCCTCCTCCTCGTACTCCTCCTGCTGCTGCACTGGTGGCCTGTGGCTCCTCGGACGTGAGCTCGCTCTCGTTCTCCTTGAAGCTTTTGCTGCGTCGCAGCTTCAGGGTCGAGAACTTCTCCGGCAGCTTGAACTTGGACATGTCGGGCTTGTTGAATTTGGTGAATTCCGGCCGCTTGAGGTCCCTGAACTTGGACATGTCGGGTCGCTTGATCTCGGGCATTTTGATCTTTGAGAATTCGGGCGCCTTGAAGCGCCTCCGCTCCTTGGCCTTGGCCTTGGGGCTGCCCGATATGGGCTTGGGCTTGGCCTGCTGGCTGCTGCGCAGCTTGGTGCGCAGCTTTCCCGCCTGCTGCCGCAGACCGTCCTGCATCTTCTTGGTGCGGTCCTGGGCGCTGGCCATGAAGCTCTTCTTGCGGCTCTCCGGCTGCAGCGGCAGCTCCTCGAGGGCGCTCGAGTCCACCTGGCTGGTGTGTATTTCGTAGTCGGTGCGAGATTCGGTTCGGGGCGTAGTTCCTGTCGAGCTGTCCAGATGTCCATCGATGTCCATGGGCATGGGCATGGGCATGGGCACCTGCAGCTCGGATGGGGCGTGGGCTGGCACCAGCGCTGGCCCTGGCCCTGGCGCTGGCGCTGGCGATGATTCGTGTGCCGGCGACACGCCCACGGGCTCATATTCATGATCACTGCAAGAGGAGAGAGAGCAGAGGATTGGATTAATGGATGGAAGGCAGAAAGGAGATCGATCTGTGTGGAGTAGTGACAAGCGAAGGTTAGCAGGAGGCCGTCACCCGGGGTGTGGAAGGTGTGTGGAAGATGTGTGGTGTGGGTGCCAAGAGGTCGGGTGGCTTACCGAGAGAAGTAGGTCCGTTCGAGGAACTCTCTGTGTTCGATTTGGTTTTGGGTCAGGGGCGATTCGCTTGCGGAGGCGAAATCCGCAAGGCGCGACTTGCGTTCGTCAAAATGGAAACTAACCGTCTTTGTCATGCCCCGCCCCGCCCCGTACAGCTGCTCCTGGGAGCCGCTGCTGAGGCGGGGGGCGCGCTCGTGCGACTGGGTGCGCGGCTCCCGGAACGAGGACTTGCGCTGCACCCCAAAGCGCTGCTCTGAGGGCGACCGCAGGGGTCGATAGACGTGGCTGTCGGAGATTTGAATGGGCACCGAGATGAGCGGACGACTGCCGCCCGCCTGCGAGGGTTCCCTGCTGGCCCCCCAAGAGGCCGTTTCCGGCATCTCAATCTCGCTGGAGTAGAAGCTCCTATTGCCGGCCATGAAGCTGCCGCCGCTGACGCTGACGCTTCCGCTGCCGCCTCGTGGCAGGGCGGACACCACCACCGGAGCAAAGGCCTCGCTCATGTCCGCCGAAGCCCGCTCCGAGGAGACTGGAGACAATCCGAAATCCTCGCGACTGCTGTACATGGTCTGGGCCTGCGGCGGGGGAGCCGGTGGCTTAGCAGGCCGCGAGCCGTACTGATCCATTTCGTCCACTTTGAGGGAGAAGGTCTCTGTGACGCGCACAGCCAGCGGCTCCGCCTCCTTGCCCTTCACCGCGGCGCCCGAGGTGGTCACAATCGACATGGCCTGGGGCTTGCCTTTGGAGAACACTGAGAGCATCTTCATGGGCGATGGCGACTTCTCGCGAGAGAAGGGAGACAGCGAAGGGGATCTCTCCTTCTTGGGGCTGGGCGTGCGTTGGGGCGACGGTGACTGCTGGCGAGGCTCCTTGGCAGCGAACATGGCCTTGAAGCGCGAGGTGTAGGAACTCTTGACCTCGGGAGAGGCATCCTGCAGGCTGATGACTGCCGCGGATGCCGCCTGGATCGTCTGCTGCTGTGGTGGGGCAGCGGGAGCCCATTTTGCGGGACGTTCCGGCGACAGTTGCCTCTCTGGAGTGTGCTGGCGTTTCAGGGGTTGCAAGGGAGGTGATGGCTCCGCTGGAGACGGACTGGATGGCCGGCTCGAGGGCAGCTGGAGGGAGGCCATCACAGGCGGCGCCTTTGGTTGCCTGGGCGAGGGCCTTGGACTGCGACTGCGATGCTCCGCCGCCTTCTGCTCCTCGTGGCGCACCAGCGCATCGATGTCCACCACTGGCATGTCGCTGATGATCTCGATCTTTGTCAGCTCGTCCAGCTTCAGTGGGGCTGCACTCAGGTCCCCGCCAATGGAGGGCGGGCGCCGCGTCTCCGACTGTATGTTGTCACGGATGTTCACGATGTTGTGCTCCTGCGCGATCTGCTCCAGCTCGGCCACAGTCTCGGCCAGGGGATCCATGGGCCTGCTGACAGTGGTGGGCTGATAGGGACTCTTCAGCTGCTCGAAATCCGACTCCAGGAGGAACGAGGGACGCACTGCATCGCCGCCAAAGCGAGACACGTCGATGGGTCGGTTCTGGGGCAGCACGTCTCCGGGCAGCTGATTCTTCTGGTTGGCATCGCTGGGACGCATGTAATCCGGCGACAGGGGCGGCCTGGCGTTGCGGAAGTCCTGCTGCGAGGGAGCCGGAGACGCCTGGTGCGAGGGGAACTGTGGCTGCTGATCCGCCAGCCCGGGACTGGGCGTGGCCGCGATCAGATTCAGTTGGGGCGGCTGCAGCGATCCCGGCAGGATGGTGGCCTGGAAGAGGTCCGCATTGGAGGCTCGCCGACTGGCACTGGCAGAGCGCTGGCCGCCAGGACGTCCGGTTCCAGGAGCATTCGGTATGTTGATGTCTGCACAGTAGAGATCCATCTTGGAGTTGCCCGCCGAGATGCGGCGCAGGGAGGTGCCACTGCGCATGGACAGGGTGTCGGGGAAGCGGCCCACGCTGCCCGAGGAGAGGCCTCCCACGGACAGCTGTCGGCGACCTGCGACCATGAAGGATCCACCCGCATCCGGTTCGGTGGCATCCGATATGCTGCGCACCACCAGTCCGCGGGCTCGGGCCGTCTGCTCCAGCTCCGGATAGCGCTCCATGAAGCTCAGATCCACCGATGGGGCGGCCACATCCGCATGACTCACGACCTCGAAGCTCTGTGCGGACAGATCGTCGCGGGGGTAGCCGAGATTCATATTCAGATTTGCATTCTGATTGAGGTGCGGGAAATGCTGCTCCTGGTCGCTGTGGTGTCCCTGCCGTGAGCCTGGCCGCGAGTCCACGGGATTGATGCGCTCCGGCAGCAGGGACTCGGACTGAAAGTACTGGCAGGCACAGCGGACATCTAGGGAGGCGCCGCTGGCACTCTCCACTCGCGACACAAAGTGCTTCTTCTCCGCTGGCAGAGCGCCCACCGAGGCGGAGCGACGGGAATTGAGCATGATCTCTGAGATAGAGAGTGGGAGAGAAGAGAACGGACAGACAGCTGTTGCTGGTTACTTATTCACTTGGCCCCCGGTCGAAATCCGCTGCTTCTCCTTCTCCTTCTCCTTGTCGTCGTCGTCGTGTACTTTTTGTGTCTTTTATTCGTTTATTTTGTTGTTCTGTTCGCCTTTTGTCGCCTTGTCGTTCGTGGTGGGTCGGTGGCTATTTTTAAGCACCACCAGAGCATGAGCAACCGCCTCCGTTGGACATTGAATTTATTTTCTGCCCGAATCAGCTCGAAATTCTTTGCCCAGCCTCTGGGGAATTTTCTGGCACTTGCAGCCCAGAGTTTCGAACTTTACTTCAGGGCTAAGAATCCACCCATTTGACCTTTCCGAATGGAAATCACTCTTTCTGCTGACTATTACTGAGAGACTCTCTCGCTTTGTCCCGCTCCGTTACGTTACGTTACGTTACGTTCCGTTCTGTGTGTGTTATGTTCTGTGTGTTGTGTTCTGTTTTGTGTGTGCGACGCGACGGCGACCGTGTCTACATCGTTGCGATTTTCGGCCAGGACTGAGAGCTTTTTGCTTTTTGCGCGACACAGATTTCCCTCAGCGAAAATTCTTGTTCGAAAGATGAAAATGCTTTTTGTTGTTGTTTTCTTTTAAAATTAGCAAAAAGAACACACACTCACACACACTCAAACAGATCGAGACACGCACAGACACTACGTGATGACGGATTAGGGAATTGCATTTGTGTGTTTGCTATGCTGTTATACTTGTTATACTGTCATACTGTGGCCTGATCAGAGACATGCCAGACAGACAGACAGACAGCAGGAGTAGCAGTACCGTAGCAATTATGTATATACATACATATATATGTACATATGTACTTTTGCACTTTCATGTTCTATTTTAGAGGCTGCGATGGCTCTGCCTGCCGGAAATCTTCTTGTCATTCGTTGACCTTTAGATCTCTAAATATACATATGTACATATGTACTGTATGTATGTATGTATAATCCCATTCACTATTCGATGTTTAGATGTCGGATATATCCAGATATGTAGTTAGGTTTCATTAGAGGCGTGATTGCCACCTTTAAGGGGACGTAGTTTTTAATTGATTTATGGCTTATGCGAGCCCAGTTATGCAACCCAACCCCCCCTTTCACCACAGAGCACATGTACATACATTTATTGAACCAACACCAACATTTGTGGGACAACAATGAGGGGGAGGAGACGGCACACAGTACATGGAGGCCTTACCTTAGGTCTATATCATTAAAGCCACTTAGAGCCACTTCATGGGGAGCCCTCTACCAAAACTTGTTAGTGCCCCCGCCACTGCAGCAGCAGCAGAGTGTCCAGCGGGAAGGACTTCTCACCCGGATCCGCCACGAGGATCTGTGTTTGCTTGGTATTGGGTGTGTGCTGTGGTCTGTGTGGTGGAAGTCTTGGTAGTGTGGTGGTGCAGGTGCAGGTGCATTCGAGTGTTTGGTGGTGCTTCTGGGGCGCTGGCCACCTCCCGGCAAGAGGGTTAGTAACAGTTTCATGAGCAGGGCAAACGGGTTAGAGTCTCTGCAAGATTGGGTTAGAACGACAGCAGCGTTTCGATTGGTTGGTTGGTTGGTTGGTTGGAGGGCCCGTGCCGAGTGTTAGTGTGAAGCGTGGGGAGGCTTCGGGGGATCGATCGGTTCATCACTTACCTCTCGTTCTTCCATCTGGCCGCATTGGCGGCTGCCTCCAGCACTTCTTCCGGCAGCTCGATGTCCTCGCGATGGGGCTCGGCCTCGTCTTCGACGTGCGAGAACGTCACCTTCTTGTCCGAGGGCGCTGGCGAGGCTTCCTTCTTGAGCGCGGGACGCAGATCGGCGGTCTCCGACGGCTCGATGTCACTCTCCTCGGCCACGGGCGACAGCTGCGCCAGGCGGGCCCGCTCCTCGTCCGACGAGGTCGAGTCTATGGAGGAGAGCGGAGCCAGGAGGGCTCCGGACTTGCCGGCACCGGCACCGGCCACGGCCACCTGCTCCTCCTCACTGCTGCCCATGCGATCCAGGGGCACCGCCTTGGCGGCCTCAATGTCATCGATGGCCAAATGGTCCTGACGCGTCAGCGACTTCTTGAGGGTGTCCAACTCAATGAGGGTCTGATCCACCAGCTCGGGTGTTTGGTGTCCAATCTCCTCATAGACATGCTCGCGACGGAGACGAGGTGTCTTCTTGGGCGGCGACTCTGTGCCATCCCCTTCGCCTCTGCCTTCCTGTGCCATCTTCCCCTTTCTCCTCCTGCGGCTCTGTAATCTCCAGAGCGGGGGCATCGGTCTCAGTCTTTGCCGCGGGCAGCTCAATGATCTCCTCCGGCTGGGGGACACTTCCTGCGGCCCCACTGGTGCTGGGTAGGTCCTCCTCGCGCTGCTCCTGCTCGAGCTCCTCCTTGTTGCGCTTGCGACAGGGCGACTCATCGTACTCGACCAGTTCGAGGATGTCGTCCGAGTCCTGCTTCTCGATGAAGTGAGGAATCTCGCCGCGGTCCGACTTGGGCGAGGCCTTCAGCTTCATGATCTTCTGCTGCTCGCCGAGGACGATCTTCTCGTCCTTCTTCAGGGTGATGCGCTTGATGTTCAGGCGCTTCTTCTGCCGCTCGGCCAGACTCTTCAGCTTCTTCATGATGTCGAAGCTCTGCTTGGGCTTGGCGGCGGCGCTCTTCGGGGGCTTCTGTGTGCTTGGGACCAGAGAGCCCGGCGGCGGGGCTAGCTCGTGGAGGCTGTTCTGCCGGCTGGGATTGGCAGAGGTGCCTGGCAGCGACTGGGCGTCCTCGTGGGTGCGTCCGCTGCGCCTGCGCCGGATGATGTCGCGGATGTGGGCCAGGCGACTGGTCTTGCGCGGCTTGTTGTGGCCCCCGACGGCGAGCACCGAGTCGGACACGCACGAGATGCACTCGCTGAGGGCGTCCTCGTTGTGGGTCTCGCGCTCTGCCTCGGCCTCTGACTCGGTCTCCGAGTCGGACTCCTCGCTGCTGTCCTCGGAGGTGTGGGCTAGCGCCTCGTCCTCGGAGAGGTCCTGAATGTAGCGCTCGGTCTCCTTGACCAGCACCTGCTCGTCGTAGCGCACCTTCTTGAGGGACTTGGGCGATTCGGACTTGAACCGCAGCTCCTGGGACTTGCGCAGCAGCAGCACAATCTCCGGCTGCTCGTCGGGTCCCAGGGGACGCTTGTAGAGGTGCGTCCACGGATAGCCGCCCTGCGGGAGGAACACAAATCAGACTGGTGCGACACAGACATCCTGTGACGGGCGGGTGTGAACTTACCCGCTCTCTGGCTCGTCGCAGATCCTCCCAGCGATAGGTCTGGAGCGGAATGGGCGGCTTGTCCTGGCTGCTCTCCAGCAGATACTTCTTCAGCGACTGATAATACTCCCTTTTGCAGTCCGCTGAGAGTCGTTGGGCATCCGTCTCGGTCTCCCCTGCCCCGTGCTGTTCGATCTGTGGCAGCGAGTCGATGAACTCCCTGCGCTGCTGCTCCTCGGCCTCGGTCTTGGGCGTGGGCACCTCCACGAGCTTCAGCTCGTTGGCGGCGGCGTGTCTCAGTGGCCTGGGCTCGTGCTCGTGCTCCTGCTCCTGCTCCTCCTCCGGCAGCTCCAACACAATCTCCGTCTGCGGCTTGTTCTTGAGGATGCTGGTCAGCTCGTTCAGCTGCACCTCCACCTGCTGTGAGAGCGAGCTCAGCTCGTCGCGATCGCGCTTCACCTGGTTGTCGTGCTCAGTCTGGGCCTCGTCCACATCTTTGCTCAGGGTTTCAATTAGCTCGCGCTCGATCTCATCCACCAGCTGCTCGGCGGTGCGACGCACTAGCTCCGATGGGGGGGCCGTCTCCTCGGACTTGCGGACTTGTTGTGGCGGCACTAAGGTCACTAGGGCCTGCTCGATCTCCCCCACCAGCTGCTCGGCGGTCCGACGCACTGCCTCCGACGGTGTGGTGGCCGTTTCGTCTACCTCGGCGATTTGATGCGGCGGCGCTAGAGTCTTAATGGCCTGCTTGGTCTTGGCCCCGGCTGGTTCCACCTCGATCACAGACGCGTCATCGTCTGTCCCGACCTTGGATGTGCCCTGCTGCAGCTCCTGCTCGAAGGGCGTCAGCTCCCTAATGCCCACTCCGCTGCCCTCGCCCACAACGTTCTCGATGAGGTGCGACTCAAAGTCCAGCAGGTGCGAGCCCCCCGGAGTGGTTGGCACTGTCCGAACGGGCTGGCTTCCCAGCGAGCAGTTGGCTTCACTGTGTGGATTGCTCTCGAGGGCCAACTTCAGGGCGGCGGCTCTGCTCTGCCTGTCCTGCAGCTGCGAGTCGTCGGCGATGCCGTTGATCAGTAGAATTGTCGGCTGCTCGGCTCCAGCTCCAGTTCCAGGTGTGGCACCGGGTAGCGACACTGCGGATGGGAGAGAGACAGAGACATAGAAAGTGAGAGATCAGAGATCGGTTCAAGACTCAGTGCAGGTGTTTTCACAATGCAACAGGTGCTAAAAATATCAGCAAAGGCAAACGAGACGACACCACCACCACCACATTCAGATTACATAACATGATATGATGCTCTCCCAGAGAAAGCACACAGAGAGAGAGAGAGAGAGTGATGGAGAGGGACAACAACAACACAATGAATTATTCCCCAAGCAGTATTTCGATATCGAAATCACTTTGCTCGAGCAGTACTCGGCGCTCGACTGCAATTACGAATTACGAAATCCGAAATGGGAATTATACGTATTTGCCTTACCACAATATTCTTTCCAGGGGGATAAACGGATACACGGATGCGTATAGTCCTTCGATCCCTGCGATTCGTTTTTCGTTGAGTGTTTCGTGACTTCGTGTTGCTTTTATATTGAAATAAAATCAATCGAATGCGGAATACTCGTATATATGGATGCCAGTGCTCTAGAGTGCTCTTAATTATTTCCTCACAAATATCTCAGCGCAGCGCAATTCGCGTGAACAGTGCAGAGAAGACGAGCCGTGCATTGAAATTGTCCGGGGCCGACTGGCCCGTCCGATTCGCTTTTCGCCAGGCAGAGGCCCCCCCAAGAAAAATCCGACAGTCGAGAGACTAATTTTCTTGCCTTGTGTTTGGGTTTTAAAATACTCGTACTTATACTTATGCTTAACAATTTTCACCATTGAAATTGTTGCTCTTGCTCTTGCTCTTGCACTCTTTACTCTACGGCGCTCTCCCTCTCGCTTTTCCTAGTCTAGTCGTTCTTTGCCTTTTGTTTTGTCGTAAACAACTTGCACATAACATAATATTACCATTACCATTACCATTACCATTACCTTTAATCTAGAACACCGTCGATAAACAAGAGCGCAGCGTGCCCAAGCAAATCCACCAAAAAAACAACTGAAAAATCTGATTTCATTTTCATGTGCCCGATTTCTCAGGCGATTTTTGCTTTACATTCAACTAATTATTGTTTGCTTATAGATGGTGTTCACATGCATACACACATATATGTATGTATGTATATATATGATACACATGTTTATATATGCATATATGTTTGTCTGTTTGTCTGTTTGTCTGTACTGGAACTAACGTAATCACATGAACAATTACAAGCTCACGAAACCAAATTGTTTGTACAAAACAGAATTTGTTTTCCGTTACGCCTTTCTGGATCTGTCTGCGGCTGAATGAAAGAGCTTTATGGGTGCTCCTACATATACATACATATATGTATACTCCCAGGGAAAACACATTACATCTTATGCTCACGATATACTCGTGTGTACTACACACCCTCAAGTGATGCAAGTTCATTCAGAGTCTATAATTTGATTTGCTCATGGATCATTCCTCGAAATGGGGTTGTGTGAGGTAAGAAAATTTGATCATTTATTTGCCTTTAGAGTGTGACCTCATGGCGACAGTGTGAGTTTTCGTTTCCAAGTTTCCAACTGCAAACAATACATTTATAGAGAGAAATGAATGAATTTCCAATGATCTTCAGTCGAAGACACTTGAGTGTGCTGAGGAATGTGCAAATGTGCCGCCATATGCTCATAGCATGTTTCCTACATTATGACTGCTTAATATTTATATATAAAGAAGGCTCCCATTTAGCGGTCACAGTTCTATGCTTTATTTATGGAGTTTCCAAAATTCAAAGGGTGTAGAACTTCACCTCCCTGCATTGTCATTTACGTTAACGAGTCCCTACTGTAGCAGCAGATTTGGCCATGTATGATGTACTTTGGGGGATAAATTTACCATCACAATTCGAGCGTAACTGCTGTGGTGCGACTTGCCTTACATGGGCTGCCGGTGCCGGTGCCGTTGCCGCTGCCCCCCCTCCCCCATGCCACTCGCTTGCCCGTTTGCCCGTTTGCAGTTGAGTGGATTTGCCTGGCACTTTTCCTCAAAAGTAACTTTTCATACATAGTATATGACAATTGACAACTGCCAGCCCACCCGTCCTCTTATTCTCCCGGATGGGAAACGGAAATCAATGCCGAATCATGGACAAGTTCATGGACATTGTGGCAGTTGAACTTTGCAACAGAATGGTGAGGGCATGGAGCGCAGCACTCGTGCGTAACGCTCTATAAATAGTCGTGCTCCGTGTAATCGGCCCAGGAACCATTACGCTGCTGGTCATTACACTTTTGTCAATTCGATGGGCTGGCGCTGGGACCCCGACCGACCCTGGCATCGCGTTGCGTAACATGCAAATCAATTAAACGTGGGGCCCGGTCCGACTCGACTCCAATCACTCACCATAATTGCCGGCCACACTGAGGAAAACATAAACCATACTCGAAGGAACGTTAGGAGTTTAGTTATATAAATAAAATAAATAAAAATAATTGCAATAATTTAGAATAATAAACCGAAAAGAAAAAGAGTAAAAACTACGGCCGGGCGTCTCTTGAGCTTCACATGTTCGACGTCTAATCGCGTTTTGAATACTAGCAAAAATGAAAAAAAAAAAAGAAACTACCCGTGTTGGAAACAAAAACTAGCTGCCATGCCAACTGCGGCTGAGGCTGAGGCAGAGACAGAGACATTACGTGGACTGAGACGTCGCTGACTACGTTTGACGTTGCTCTCGAAATGCCAAATGCTGATTGAAATGCGAGAGAAACGGGAGAGAGATGGCGGCAAGGGGCAGTGGCAGTGGCAGAGACAGAGACAGAAACAGTGACAACGGTGACAGCGTCTCCTCTTCCTCGTACATGGTGCTGGCTGGGCAACGTGTTGCACTTTCCTCCCAGTCCACTGGTTGCATGCGATGATGATGATGATGTCGCCAAACAGCACCGCCGACGTAAGCGGTGCCGTCCAAGGTCGCCAATGCCGCCAATGCCGCCACCAGGCGGCTCTCCTCTAATTTTAGAATCATTTAAGCGTAACGCTAACGCACTTGAGGGCGCTACTCGTACTCTATCCCCAAGACATGCTAGGGTTTTATGCCCTTCAAAAGGGGGGCCATCAGCAGCAGAAACTATCGAGCCCATATAGCTAAATCAGACTGCATATAACATTTCCTAATACCATGGGAGCATCTCCGAAATCGACAACAATATTTGCCAAAAATCTTACAATAAGATTGGAATCATTTCTAGTTGTGGAATCAAATATCTGTCTAAAACTAGGCAGAGTTTTCCCTTTCAGCTGCGGGCAACACACATGTGTAAGCCTGTATCTTATTTGGATATCCAGCATACAAGCATCTCTTTTGATTTCATTGCCACTAGTCTCTTAGTTGCTGAGATATCTTTAGCTTAAGAGGACTTTGACAAATGACAGCCAAAATAAACCTAAATTGGATTACCTTATGGCATACGAGTGTCACTGCAACGATTGGTCCCTATGTTCATACATTTGTAGATATCATTCTATTAATTACTAGAGTATTTCCATCTCGACCTCTACTGATAGCCCTTCTCTGGTCTGGTGTTAACAAGCTACTCTCTGTCTCTCCCTCTCTCTCTCTCTCTCTCTTGGTATTGGCTGGTGAGATGTGTGATTTCTGTCTTCCCATTCTCTCCATAATCTATCATCTAGAGGACAGACGGCGGCCGCTCGCCTGCTCTTTGGCACCTCTGTTCTAATGAATGAGAGAAACTGGCACACATTGCGTATGCGTTATGTCCCGGCTAACATTTGGCTGTGCTCTGTGTGTGCTAGTTGAACATTTTTGCTTGTTTTGAAAATAAATTCTCATGACACAATTGCAGAAACGCTGTGTCCGAGCCGTAGCAGAGTTCATTGTACGGTTTAATTATGCGAATCAAGCAGAGCAGAGCCCTGAAACGGCAGTTGCAGATCGCAATTGATTTCCTTGCGGCAATTTTCATATTTTTAGTGCATTCTAATGCTGAGTTGTTCTCGTCGCACTGCCCACACCGCAGACACAGAGAGAGAGCCTTTCCGTGGATGGCCTTGACTGGCCAGATTCTGAATTATTTATGTACAAACCTATAAATATAGTTCAGGGATAGTGCATATATGTACATACTAGAGCAGCTGGCCTTTCTTCATATCGACGATTAGTCGCAGTTCCAAAACTGAAAAGAAAATCAACCCACAACCACGACGACAACACGCGACAGTAAACGAGAACGAGAACGAGAACGAAGACGAAGACGAAACAAAACGAATAGGACAAAGCAGAACCGAATTAAAATCAAACAAGCACAATACAATATATGTATAAAGTAAAACGAATAGGAACAGAGGAGGTGGGTATCCCACGTACAGATATATAGATATACGTAGATATAGATGGACTGACAAACGGATGGATGGATTGAACACAATCACAGCGAAAGTAAAACAAAAGCTAGGAACCTCTTGCCCACTCAGAACTCATAATTAATGAAAGTACTCGGTGCAAATGAACAAGAGGCGAAATGAGGTTGTTCCTAGTCCACAGAGAACTGTTTAGAATGGGATATATGTAGACAATCAAAGATGCAGCCTGGCAACATGTTGTGTTGCCACAGCAGATCTGCTGCTGCTCTTTATGAATGAAGCACACCAAGACGAGGCAAAACGAGGCACGACAACAATGGGAAGAGCGGATAGTAAGTGGTGTGTGTGTGTGTGTGTGTTTGTATGTGTGTGGAGGGCATTTTACCAATCACTGGTGCCATACAGGTCAGGAATCGGGTCAGCGCTGTGCCCGTGCTGGCAATGGCCCTATTCGGACTGGGTGTTGTCCGTGCTGCTCGTCCTGCAATTAGGTCAAAGTTTGTTTTAGAATTCCCCAGCGAATACGAGTGGGCGACTGGGGTGACTGGTGGCTGCTCATGTGATGTACTGAATGTGCTACGATGGGATGCTAATTGCAAATCAATCATACTTCCATTAGCCGGGACCGGGACTGGGACTGGGACCGACCAACTTTTTGTGACTGGCTCTCATTGGCAATTACCAGCCAATTTTCACCCACTCTGAATCATCCGTTTCCTTGGATATGCTAATCAGTCGGCTGAAATGTTCCGTTCAAGGGGTCTCTGGATGGACGGTATTTAGTGGCGTTTTGGGTTGAATCTTTTAGCACATTGAGCAGAGCTTAGAGCAGGAAGCCATGCTGGAAGTTTTAGCGTCTCCGTTGAGATGATTAATGAATAACTTATACAGAAACGAAACCTTTGATACTTTGCTTAGCTGCAGTACGGAATCGAATTCCCGATAGCCTATGGATTTATGATAATCATAAATGTGACTGCTGGCAATAGCAAATGACTTCACCACTCACTGAGGCAGAAATAATTGAATTGAATTAAATTGAAATGCAATCAGCAATGACAAAGATAACCTTCGATATCTTTTGGTACTCCCTCGACTTGCTGGAGATCGCTTTGCTCTTTGCTCTTAGCTCTTTAGTCTTAGCCAAGTATACTCGTACGTATTTTGCAAACACCCTAATTATATGTCTAACCACTTTGGGGCTCTCCCCCTTCCCGCCCACTAAATAGTTATAGTCTTTGCCATAAATAACTTGCACAGATTATGCAACAAGTCTCCCACTTATCGGCGTCATAGCCAGCCAGCAAAACATGTCGATAAAGTCTGTCCCGTTCCCCAATTGCTTTGATAAGATAGCGAAACCATATGTTTAGGGCCCTCCCATCGTACGTACGTATATGAGGCCCGAGACAGCGGACTACGTGCTGTGGTGCCAGTGTGCAGTGTCCAGCTTCTGCACTGACTGGCGTACTGGTGCTGGGTGCTGCAGGGGGACTTGACTGCGACCGACTGGCCTTAGTCAGATTTATAGACAGCTGTTTCAATCACCGCGTGTGCAAATGTTTTTCAAGTGGCAATCACAGCAGTGCCGGTGGCTCAGCGGCAGGCTCTCCTAAGTGGTCCACAAACCCAGCTGCAAATGGGATTGGAAACAGGTCGGACTGTTTTCACTTTCGTTGTCCGGAAAGGGGGGCAACTCTCGCTCACATAGATCATCACATTGATTCTCTGACTAATTCAAATCTTGATCTACTCGTATGCAACTGCAACGGTACTCCACAGTGGGGTGGGAGCGGGCCCAACCGGTTTGGCAATGCAAACACAACACGCCCATTGTGCTTGGGAAATATTTAGTAGAAGATGCCGCTGGCATGGAGCCCTCGCCTCGGTCTCAGTTCGTTCAGTCTGTTTACCCGAATTCCAAACAACTCGTTCAGATTTCGTAACGGAAGACTACTAAAGTTGAAAGAAAATTCTGTTTAACTAATGAACAAGCGTACGACTGCTCCATGCCCTAAAATATCTAAGAGTCTATCAATTGTATTATATTTTACCATTGTTTTTCGGTTGTATATTCTTCTCTTCTCTATATCAATACTTGATTTAAATAGTCGTATTCTCCCCGGCTGCAAGGCTGCCTTCAAATCAAAGTTTCTCTTCGCTGCTCGATCCCTAAGGCCAGACAATTTTATGATATTAGTGGGCCAGTGCATTTGATTACCGATTTCCGTTGGATTTTTTGTCGGAGAATTCTGAATTTCGCTGCGAAATACATGTACTCGCACATGTGTAGGTACAATTGGGAAAACGCTTTTCCGCTGCGGCGCCAAAACCGAGCACGACTTTTCATAGCTTTTGGCTGGCGTTCAACTTGGCAGACAATCATAAGTAATGTTCTATATAGTATACAGTACACCATGGTACACTCGGGTATATATAGACACACTCTCGCACACACAACATGGTCTATATTCGTCAAGAAATGTCATTACAACGCCCACGCGGCGTATGCGTAATGCTTGGCTAATTTATGGGGCAAATGCAGCCCCATCGTTTGGAAAAAAGATGCGATGGGGTTCGGTTTGGATCGGATCGGATCGGATCTGAGGCCTACCTTCATCCCAGGGATGATGATGCTGCTGCTGCTGCTGCTGTTGTTCCTGTGGCTGTTCCTGTTCGATTGGGGCCTGTGCTGGTCGCGATTTGCGTCCTTTTTTGGAGCTTTTACTGTTGGTGGGCTCCATTTTTTGCGGCTGCTGAGTTTTGCTTTTTGGCTACAAGACACGCGCGTAAATAGAATAATACTTATATATTTTTATGCAGGTGCCACATACACTCGGACAAATGTCGCGTGTGACTGCGTGTGTGTGCGGTTATCTTCGGTGACGCACACAAGTGACATTTGCCAAACACTCACACAATCGCACTTTGGACACACACTCTCGCGGGTTTCTTTTTTACGAACTTTGTTGCTCTTTTTCCCCCCTTTATCTGTATCTTTGTATCTTTGTATCTTTGATTACTTTGGCGCGCTGGGGGGAAAAGTCTAGATATAGTCGCCGTATATCTATCTATCTATCTTTCGGTACGGTACAAATATATTTAAAATTTAAAGATCTCTAAGTTATTTTTAATGCGGTGATTTAATTTAACGCACACACACACACACACACACACACACACACTCTTCTGGCACTTTTCATATTCCTTACTTGCCAAAATGTTGAGGCGACAGCTTTTCCCTCACCGATATTCCAAAGACTCAATTATGAAATTCGATTTAATGGACATTACGTGACAACGCGACGTTTCTGAATTTTCCAGCCAATAGCCTTTAGCTTTTACGATTATTAATTATTTGTTTCCTTTTCGGCCAACTGCTGTCCGTCCGCTGTACTGTGTGTCCAACTGCCCAACAGTTGAACAGAGAAACTGCCGGGCCCGATTGGGTCGATTGGGTCGTTGTTATTGGCTGGGTCTCGTATCCGTATCCGTATCCGTAATCGTTTCACTATCGTCAATGGCGGGGGTATTGGTAGCTACAGGGGTAATCGTGTACTTGAAGAACTGAGCTGAGCGAGAAGTTGTTTGAAAAGTGAATGAAAATCGCGCACGGAGTCCATGCGACGTCGTTGTCGCTGTCGATGTCGTCGATCGTTTGCCGTGCCGTGCCGAGCGCGACTAACACCCAAGCACCGTTGACAGCGCGATCTCGGAGAGCTTTTTTTTCAGTTGGCTTTACTTTTGGACTCTGTGTGTTTTTTGTCACTGGTCGCGTCCAATAACACGCTGCTCGCGACCGCTCAGCTCAGCTCCGGTCCATGCCGTGCCGTGACGTGCCGTGCCGTTTTCTCTGTTGGAAATATATATTTTCGGTACCGCTGCCGTGTGGTGTGTGCGCTCTGTCCGAGCCGTGTAATTGGCTTCCATTCGCGGAGCCAAGTGCATTTGCTTATCACACATTATTTCGCATTTCAAGTGTATTTATAGAGATACGAGTACAGCTTCATCGATAGAGAGGAGTTGGTTGCATGCCAACCTTTGGGACGCCATGCAAATCAATTGCAAGAGATTTCGTTTGGCAAAATACCCCTTAATTACGAGCGGGGTTATGGCGGGGTGCAGTGGGAAAAATGATTATCGACTCCCAAACTCCCAAACCTCTTCTAAGCAAACTGAGTTACGATATTATCATTTTGTGAAGTAAGTTTTTGGTGAAAAAAGTTCTAAATGCAGTTTCTCTATTAACCCTATCCTTTCCGATCAATCAGGGAATATTAAGCCATCCATACCTCAATTAAACTAATGGGAACGCATCATAAAAACAAATGAAAGTAAAGGGAAAGATTTAATGGCCTCTAGACGGGTCGTCGTAAATGGTCGTTAGGGCGAGGGCTTATCAAATGTATTGTAGAATGGACACAGACACAGACACAACAAGTTCAAGTTGTTGAGCCCCCAGATTGCATGTTTTGTGTATTTCAGACATGTTTATGGGGGTAGCCAGCAGCTGAAACAGCAGCAGCAGCAGCAGAGTTCAATTGCCGCACTACATCCAGCGAGGATGTCGGATGGGGCTCGAGCTACTGCTGCTGCTGCTGCTGCTACTGCCACTGCCACTGGCGCTGCCTCCTCATCAGAGCTGCCTTTGTGCCGCCCCACTCGTGCACAAAAGTGGCAACTGCTGCCTCATCAAGTTCATTCCACTTGGCATTAAGAGCATGGCGGAGCAGAGCGGCAAACAAAACCCAAACAAATATCCCAAGAATGCTGCAGCAGACACTGACAGTGAGATCTGTTTATAGACCTAGGCGAGGCGGCATTTAATTACTGTGAAAGTGGGGAGGTGGTGGGGTGTTGGACTCCGAGCACTGCGACTCGTTGATGATTACATAAAGAGTGACGATTCCCCCATCCCATTACTCCAGGCCTATATCCATTGTGCACACATTTGTGTGATTAATAAGTCCAAGTAGAAGGGAACACCTTGATCTTTGACCTTTGATAGGGCGTGCAGGTGCAATGCGTGGGATAACATGACTCTAAGCCCCGTCATGGGATAGGGGGTGGGGCTACACATCGAAAGCGTGCACGGTACAACAGCAATGGATGGCTCCAAGGGAACGTGGCATTGTTACCTACAATAAAAACTGTGTCCTCATTGAGTAGCGCTGCTAGAGTTGATTGACAGGATATAGACGACGACGGCACCGACAACGACAACGACAATAGGTTACGCCTTTTGTGGAGGCGGAGACGGAGACGGAGTCGAGTCTCCGGGTAGCACGGGTAGCACGGCATTAATCAAACGCACACACGTGAGCGAGCCCGTCCACCTGCCAATGGGTGTACTCGTGGGAGCGACAGCGGCAACTTATTTATGGCCTATGGCTAGGATATTTATCGATTGCCTTAGCCGAATTGTTCAATTATTTGGCTTGCATTTGCCCTTCTTTTCTCACTTTTTCTGTTTCTGTTTCCATTAATTTGTAATTCCAGTGGCTGCTGCACATCGGCCTCTCCTCTCCTCTCCTCTGCTCTGCTCTGCTCTCGCTGCTGACCCGCACGTCCAATTAATTAATTATCATTACAAGCATTGCATTATGCTCGACGGACACGGACACGGACTCGGACACACGACACAAGAAACAAGAAACAAAAGTCCATGACCACGGGGCTAAAGGGATTGGAACCCAAGGGAACGCACGGCTCGGCTAAGGAGACGCTCCGCGGGCAACGCACAGCAATGGGCACCGACTGTGGGACTGATTGGACGGGTCTCCTCAGCGCTTTTAATTCCATTTAGACCAAGGGTCTAGCCTGACTGCGGCTCCTGTTTATGTTTATCCTTGCGCCTGCACCGTGCTCGCTCTGCTGCTCGTTCTCTGCCATAGTTGTGGTTGTTGTTGCTATTGTTGATGTCGGCATATTTCGTTGCCGCTGCGTTGCCCGGCATTCGACGACGTCAGCGGGTAACGGGTAACGGCAACCAGTCCATGCAGTCGGACATCTGCCATTGTTGAGTCCTGCGCAGAGCCAAGCAAACTCAAAAATTACGAACTTATTCTACTTATTATCACCCTAAAAGTCCAGCTTGTGCTCCAACTAATGGTAATCACTGTTTGAGTGCAATGGAGAGTCATGCGCACTTCCCTGCCAGCAGACTCTAAGTTTCGCATCGCATCTGTACATTTGGTCCAAATACTAATCACACCAAAGCCGGGGCTGGTCCAGTGGCGAAAAGGAAAAGAAATCATAAAACATTCGCAAAAGAAAGTGAGGAGCGAGTGCTTGGATCCCGCAAAACTTTTAAATTCAAATTTGAATTGAAGAACCGTTGCGCGGATGTATGCGCAATGTTAGTGTAAATGTTATGCTATAACATATGTTATGTTTAGACACTTGCCATACAGTACGAGTATATACATAGATGTGCCAGTTCATTCAACGAAAGGGGCGCAGCTGAGTTTGCAGCGTACGTTCCCAGGACTTCGGCTCATAACGTGACACGAGCCGACGGACAGAAAGCATGTACATGTATGTGTTGTTTTGCCGCTTGAACCGAAATTGGTTGCCTTCCGCAGCATAAATGAGGAAAGGGCAGAGTGGGTGGGGGTGGGAAATAAATACAATATATAAAAATAAAATATATTAATTGTTTGATTTAATTGAAATTGCACATTTACATATACATATGTACGTATCCCTATTTTAGACATTTTATTTTTTTTTCAGAGAACTTTTTATTTCGATAAAATTTGGTACAAACGTATATATTTCTATATATACATATATGCATGGAATTGGTATATACCAGGGCTCCACGCGCAACACCCATTTGCACCTCCTTCTTCCCTCACCGCGCCCTCTTGTGCGACGGGGCATACGCGTGTGCTGGTGGGCCATCAATGTGTAAGTTGCGATCTCTATCGACTGCCAAGTATAATCTATTCGATGTGTAACATCTTTCTCCTTCCACAGGAAATCCAGTAGGACCAATTTGAGTGTCATTATTGCACGTGTCTACAATTTCAATGAAAAGGCAGATCTGAAATCTTCAGGTGCGCATAACACGAACAACTTCCATCTGGCATTCATTTAAAATCCCATATCTCTTCCTCTTGTAGATTATCCCTACCAGCCAACGGTGACATCAATATAGATGGGAAGAGACTGAGAGATTGAACACAAAAAATTGCTCATCTGCGTATGGACTCTGGTATTCGCTAAGCTAATGATTCATTTGGGTGCCACACCACACACACACACTCACAAATGTGTGAATATATCATATGTATTCGGTAGACAGTATGCAGTACATTTCTAGGAAGTAATTGCCTTAAGACTTTTTTTTAATAAACTCAAAATTCTGTAATATTTAGTAAACTAAACCCCAAATGTCCTGTTTTGACGGGGAATAATCCTACATGTTGCTTAGGTTTAAGTCTACCCAGATAAAATAAAATAAAATGGCGTACGACTATATAAACGTGCGTTTTAGCATTATTAATAAGCGGAAATCAACGTTTGTACATAATACGATGTTACTTATATAAGTATGCCAGTTAGTAATACCATTGTATAGTGTTTTTGTATTGCTTTAGCAGTAACATGGACGGAATATTATATAAAGCTACATACATATATACATCAAATATGTATTGTATAGTTTATTAAAAAATAAAAAAATACAATTTATATGTGTGCTTTAATTGGAGTGGGCGGGAGGTCAAGAATATTCTTTGAGGACTTTATTAAGGATCTAAAAGCCATGGAATGCACAGATCGGGCTGCGCAATGAATTGACTTGAAATGTCCTTGAAAAGGAATCTAAGAAATTGTGGATATTTTCCCGATCACGGGTAGGCGTCGCACGCCCTGATCGGACGATAAAACAGCGGAGTTATAGGGATTTAATGGCAATTTCCTTATTGTCCTTAAAGCGAAATGATGGGGGACATCCTGCTGATTACGAGGATACTTATCACATTCAGATCGGATGAAAAATGACAGAGAAAAGTAATTATTTAAGAATGGGAGAAATATCCTTGATCCTTGGTCCTTTTTAGAACTCCAAAAAATCGAGGATTTTCTTCCGATCACGAGGACACGTACCACGTCCTGATCGTTCGATAAATAACGGAGTTAAAGCGATTGAAAAACGCTAAAATTATTTACACAACAACAGCACATTTGAATTTGGCGCTCAATTTCAAAAAGTTAGTTCCAGCATTGGCCGTCGGTTATCAGTGGGGCACCACTGTGCGTACAAAATTTAATTTTTGCACGGTGGATCCCCCATGATCAGCGACGGCCACTGCTGGAACTAAAGTATGGTAGTTCCAGATTTCACCATTCATTATGGGGGCGCCACAGTGCAAATAAAAATTTTGTTGTTGCACAGTGGCGCCCCCATGATCAGCGACGGCCACTGCTGGAACTAAAGTATGGTAGTTCCAGAAATCGCCGTTAATAAATGGGGGCGCCACTGTGCAAATACAAATTTTTGGATTGCACAGTGGCGCCCCCAGTGTTGAACGGCCACTGCTGGAACTAAAGTATTGTAGTTCCAGCAATAGCCGCTCAACACTGGGGGTGCCATTGTGCAAATAAAAATTTTTCGTTTCACAGTAGCGCCCCCATAATCACGGACGGCCACGGGAGGAACTAACGTATGGTAGTTCCAGAAATAGCCGTTCATAATTGGGGGCGCCACTGTGCAACAACACAAATTTACTTGCACAGTGGCGCCCCCATTAATGAACGGCGATTTCTGGAACTACCATACTTTCATTATTCAGCATTATTTTAAATGCGTATAACTCTGCCATTTCCAGTCCAATCTGGGCGTGCCACGCCTCCTCGTGATCGGGAGAAAGTCCCCCATCGTTTGACGTCAAGGACAATAAGAATATTGTCCTGGAATCGTTATAAATCCTTTATTCCTTCGCCATTTTTCATTTGATCAGGGCGGATCATGCCTTTATGTGATCGGGGGAAAACTTTAGCCGATGGACAGTTTGGATCCTAACAATAATGGAAAAGTTGGTCCTTCGAGGATTTGCCCCTATTTGGCCGCGAAATAGCGTAAGGAAGAAAAAAACCAGTATTTTTGTTGTGACGCTATATGTCGACTTTTTGTCGACCGATTTGGGCGGGTCACGCCCTTTCGTGATCAGGAGAATCTCCCCGATCGTTTGCAATCAGTTTCGCATCAAGGACATCAAGGATTAAGGATTAAATTTGTAAAACTCCGTCAGTTTTCAACCGATCCAGAGGTGACGCATGTCCTCGTGAGCGAAGGGTCTCCTCTATCCTTTGAACCATCAAGGAATCCTTCAGGGCTGCAAGGATATGTCTTTTACACGCTATTTTGTAATATATTGGCCGAAAAGACCAGCCTGAAGCCCAGTGATAATAAGCAGCCACAATGTTTTTCAATATTTAATATTTATTTCAGTTTTGTTTTAATTTTCTTATAATAATTAGCAGTTGCTTTCGCTGTATTTGCTTACGTCGATCATAATACATATTATCCATATCCTTGCTGTATGATAGGATTGGTGTCTGTGTGTATGTGTGTTGGGTCTGTCTTTGCTCAACATTGGTAGGTTCGCATTGACTTTAATGTTTGTTTGTTTGTTCGTTTGTTAATTATCGTTCCTATAACTTTTACTTAACAGCTTAAATATGTATGTACGCGTTCAACATTTACTGGATCTGATCTGCAGCTAACATGCTGCTTGATTTATGTTATTATGTAAATTTATATTAGGGTTTATAAAAAAATTTGCTCATAAAAAACTAATTACAAATACGCACATATATAGTTCTTTCGTTTCGTTTCGTTTCAAATGAGTTTCCGAAATTGATTATTTACAATATTCATAGGGAGAGGAAATTGATAAATGCAGAAACAGAAACCAAGGGAAAATTTCATTGTCGAAAATTGACAATTGCATAGTCAAGGTGCAGCTCGACAAAAAAGCCTCTAAATATCTCTCGTTTGCTATAATATTTACATAAATACTCGTACTATTGTTAGTTAATATTCGATTTTGGTTCACATTAGGTAACAGTGCGGATTTCGTTTTGTTTTGTTTGTCATGCTTCATTCAGTGTATTTTGCTGATTAGTGTAGAGATATTTGCTAAACATTTGGACTACTTTTGAATCAGCAATTAGTCGAGTCATACCTTTACATACCTTTACATTCATTATTTGCTAAGTTGATTTACCCTAGACATTCCGTAACTTGGATACACCCTTCAGACATGCACATTATTCCATATTCCATATATACTCGAATGCTCGAATGTATTTCCTGTCACGTCATGAGCCAAACGCGGTCGTCCCCAGAGCTGGCACATCTATAAACTGTATGATTAGTGGTTTAGATACTGCTTTGACAGTTTCAGGGTGACCGTTTACGGTATATTATACACTTTTCGGCTTATTTTGAAGTATATTTACGGTATTTCGGTATAGTATAGTATATTTAAGTATATTTAATCTAGAGATGGTCTAACTCAGGATCGTTTTCGATTATTTTTCAACTCCGGAGTTGGAGGAGTTGACCATCTCTATTAAGATCGACAAAACAGCAACAGCTGATCGGAGGAGGGGTTAGATAATAGTTTATGGTTCCATATTGATTGCAAAAAACAACGCGAAGATGGCCCTGAGATTTGTGGCGAAATCCTGCAGATTTTTGCTGCAGCACGGCGATCGCCAGCTGTCCCACACCCGAACTCTTGCCCATTATCCTGTCAACGATGCCATGTTCGGGCTGGACGAGGATCGGCAAAAGTTGCGCGAGGTCGCTTTCAATTTCTTCCAGAAGGAGCTCGCGCCCTACGCCAAAGAGATTGACAAACTGGACAACTTCAAGTAGGTAATGACGACATGAAAGGGAATATACCTTATTACCTTTACTGGCATCCACAGGGATATGCGTCCATTCTGGAGGAAACTTGGCGATCTTGGGTTCCTGGGTATCACAGCGGAGCCAGACTTTGGCGGCACTGGTGGCAGCTACCTCGACCACTGCATCATCATGGAGGAGTTTTCGCGGTAAGCTAAATTGGCTAGAGTCTCCACAGATAATTTCTAAGACTTGTTTCACAGTGCGGCTGGCGGCGTGGCCCTGTCCTATGGAGCACATTCCAATCTGTGCATTAATCAGCTCACCAAAAATGGAACAGCCGAACAGAAGGAGCAATATCTACCGAAGCTGTGCAATGGTGAGCACATTGGAGGTTTGGCCATGTCCGAACCCGGGGCCGGTTCCGATGTTGTGTCCATGAAGCTGCGCGCCGAACGCAAGGGCGACTACTACGTTCTTAACGGAAGTAAATTCTGGATCACCAACGGATCCGATGCGGATACCCTGATTGTGTACGCCAAGACAGGAGGCAGCGGTGTCGCAGACAAGCATAGCATTACCGCCTTCATTGTGGAGACCGCCTGGGAGGGCTTCAGTGTGGCACAAAAACTGGACAAGCTTGGTATGCGTGGCAGCAGCACCTGTGAGCTGGTCTTCCAGGATCTAAAAGTGCCCGCCAAGAATATCCTGGGCAAGGAGAACAAGGGTGTCTATGTGCTGATGTCTGGACTGGACTTTGAGCGCCTCGTGCTGGCCGCCGGACCAGTGGGCCTCATGCAGGCCGCCTGCGACGTAGCCTTCGACTATGCTCATCAGCGCAAGCAAATGAACCAGTTAATCGGCGAGTTTCAGCTCCTTCAGGGCAAGATGGCTGACATGTACTCCACTCTGAGCGCCTGTCGCAGCTATCTCTACACTGTGGCCAGATCTAGCGATGCCGGAAACCGCAGCCCCAAGGACTGCGCTGGCGTCATCTTGTACTGCGCCGAGAAGGCAACCCAAGTGGCGCTGGATGCCATTCAGATCCTCGGAGGCAACGGCTACATCAACGATAATCCAACGGGTCGCATTTTGCGCGATGCCAAGCTCTACGAGATTGGGGCCGGCACCTCTGAGATCAGACGCTGGCTAATTGGACGCCAGCTAAACCAGGAATACAAGTAACGCCTGCACTATAAACTTTAATATGGAGCCAGAAACGCATTTACGATTAGGATGGAATTGGTGCAATCTTATGTGAATTACGACCTGACAAGACTATTACTTGCATTTATTACACATTTTAATGAATTTTATATATTTTGTATACAATATACTCGAGTTTTATGTGCCTTTAAAAAAATATACTAAGTGAGCTTTAATGGTGTATTTTTCCAGATTTGTGTATCTCTAAGATACTTTTCGTATCTTCCGATTAGCGCAAAAAGAATTTTAATATTTGCACAGCCAACATTTCAGGGTACTATATCTCTGGCGAATAGGGACAGAACGCCGAAGGACATACTATCCCAGGACCGTGAGGATCCAGACTGTCGATCGGCATTATAATATCAAAAATGAGACATGAAGACAACCATGTACATAGAATACTAGTTCGTGCTTAGCATGAGTTCCTGAACGTTTGGCAAAAAAGTTTAATTTATCTTTAATTCTCGCAAAAGAGAGAGCTCCCAAAAATTGCATAGCCTCTTCTTGTTTTCTCCCTTATTTGTGGGCCGATCGTGGCGTGCGGCGGCTTTCTGTGATCGGGGGAACATACTTGATTTGTCCTTATTCTATGTGGACCCGTTCCTGTGGTCGGAGAAACGTCCTTGGTTTGATAGTCATTTCCTATTTGCGCTTTAAATTTGTGGGAAATAAAATATACTGTGATCGGATAAATATGTATCATCGAGGGTTTCCTTATCGGAGATTATTAATATTCTGGATTTTTATTAACTTTTCTTTCTTTATTGTAATTTCTGTATACAGTTTACCGTTTATTGTGGGGGCTTTTGGTTATTCATGCAGTTTTCATCGTAAACATAAAATAAATTTACCTATTGGATACTTACATATGTATGTACATACCTAGGGCTTCTGTATTGTTAATGTTAGGCATATATATGCAGTGACTCATATTTCATATTTGTACGTAAACTCGTTTCGGATGCAATTGTTCCCATGGCAGATCTCGACTTGATCCATGTCCATATTCCCGCCAAAAATAGCTCCCATACTTTAATTTCTATTGTTCTCTGGTTCTGGTTCTGGTACTGACTTATATCACACACAGTATACACATAATATCGCTCATTACTGATGCAAACAGCTGCATTGCCAACTGTCGCGTTTCCATGGTCAAAGCCGTGGTTCTGAGCCGCTGTCTGTTGGAAACTCTTATAGGTACGTACGTTAGGGTTTCTTTCGGATAAAGTGCTTTGGCAATTAACTAATTAATACAAAAAGCTAATAACAATTTTAACACGCCACTACACACATAAAGCTGATGACAGACTAGCTACAAAAACAACAACAAAACATTGTAAAGACACAAAACTATCTATGGCGCACCCAGTTATTTGATAATACTCGAGAGGCTCGTGTAGCCGCTGTTAGGCTGGATCGCGGGCTCCTGATCGCGTCTGCAGCAGCCGCAGCAGCAAATGCTTTTCACAATATCCACAAAGCTCGTCTGGTCAAAGTCATCCAGATCGGACATGAAGACGCCAGAGCTGATGTCCTCGGCGGTGCGGGTGCCAACAAATGCCTTGAGATCGGTGGTTGGGAAGCCATCCTTGTAATACGCCTTAATCGTATCGTAGGCATCCATAATGACGGCAATAAACAGCGACAGCACCACATAAATGTAGAGCGATATAAAGGAATACAGGTAGATCTGGCAGAACCACCACAGCCAGGTGGCCTTGCTCGACAGGGTGGCGAAGGTGGCAAACATATCGTCGCCATTGATCAGCGCAAACAGACACTCCGAGGTGGTGGCCAGCGAGCGGAACTTCATGTGGTAGGGTCCCAGAATCAACCAGCCGCAGAACACAAATCCAGCATAGATCAAGAGGGCGGCAATCAGGAATCGCAGAATCTTCGGGGCCGCTTTCTTCAGCGTGAGTATTACCACATTGTAGGTCTTGAAGAATCCCAGATACCGCAGCACTCCAAACCACACCAGCAGATTTCCGATGCCAAGGAACAGGGAGCAGGTGTCCCATTGATCCACAACCAAGAAGCGCCCTTCGATCTGCTCTTTAAGCGCAGAGCCAATGATCAGCAGGATATCATTGAAAATGATCATGATGTACCTGAAGTCGAATATGAATGCAATTAGTGAGATGTTCTAGTCAATTATTCCACTTTAAGACTCACCAAAAGTTGACAAACTCCAGGCGACCGTCGAAACTCAATTCCTTGCCAAAATGCGACCGGAAAAAGTTGACAGTCGTGCATCTCAGCAGGTATGCCCTCCACAGGGCTCGCGTGCACAGGGCAAAGGATAGGGCGCAGGTCAAAAGGACAAATATATTGAGCACGCTCCTCAGCATCGAGTCAAAATTCGCCTCCGATATGAAATCCGTTGCTCCATTGCACTTTAATCGCGTGGCCTCGGCATCCAGCGACAACAACATCTGGCCATCATGGTCCCGATTGTTGAACAGTATGGCTATGTCGAATCTGAAGCAATCTGGAGCCGACAAGGGTCCACCATTGGCCTTGAAGTTCACAGTCTTGATCTTAAAGGTCAGCTGTGCCGATACCAGAGATGCGAAATTGACCTCCACGCCGCGCTGCTTGAGATAGTTCTCCACTCCGATGCTGGTCACGTTCGGTGGCAGCGATTCGCACAACTCGTCGATATGGGGATCAAAGATATAGGACTCGTTGAACCCAAATATGGTACCCTCTCGATAGTTCTGCAGGCACAGCTTGAGCGGCGGCATCGTATTGTTATGCGTAGGATAGTCGTACGGTCCAATCGAGCGGCTCACATTGGCATAGCCATCGACTGCATACTGCAATGTGGCATAGAATTCCGATTTCAAATACAAGGCAAAGGGACCGACCGCGGGTGGATAGCTCTCCACCTCACGCGACGAGTCCCAGCCCCTCAGAAACAGATGCGAGAAGGCAAATCGGTTATCACCGGTATAGTTGATGTGGTTATACCGCGAGTGGGCAAAAAGGCACAGCTGCATCGTCACCAGAAAGATCTTTACAATCTGTACAAAGAAGGGAGATAAATATGATACAAATCAGTGGCTCCGTTTGCTTAATCTAATTAAGGTGTGTGGGGCTTTTCTTTATGTACATATGTATGTACATATGTATGTACATATGTATTTCTTTTGAGAACACAGATAAGGCCGTTCAATGATCTAAGAACCTTATCATTGTTTTCTTTGTATCTATAGACAAATCTGGTTCTATCACGACTTCTCAGCATTGTTGGGCCATGGAGTTCCCGTAAAGTTCAGTTCCCAAACCACTTTTAAATTAATCATCGAAAAAATCCCCCAAAAAGCTAGCATTTATCATACTATTGAATAATGTTTCTAAATTGTACGTATGCGTACATACGTGTAGCCGGGTACGTCTAGCCGTAAAATATAAGATATTTTTTCAAGTTTATTGCGTACACTATGTATGTATGTATGTAGGTCCTATATTTAGTTAGTAGACCTTTCAGATAAGGCATCGATAAGGGAAGAGAGCTTAGCAATGCAAGCAGAATGCTTAAGTGTCTAAATGTTGACTATGCTGAGAGTTGGACTTTTGTGTTACAGGCTGGTAAAAACTGAGCAAACAAAATGCTCGAAACCCCTGATTAAAAAGCGACTGTCAGTTAAGCAAAACATGTGTCACACACAAAAGCGCTCGCCCCTATTCCGAATTCCACACATCACGAGACAATTGCCAATTAAGCGAAAATATGAGGCGGATCTTCAACGTCGAATCACTCACCTGCACGACAAACTTGTAGGGGAACTTGCGCCTCGCCTGCCACTTCTCGATGGGATTCATGAAGTAAAACTGCAGCTTTCGTCGCATGCGTTCCTCGTGGTAGGAGGAGGCGGAAGAGGTGGGTCCCGAGAACTCCGGGTGCTCCACATGACCCTCCACAGAGATGGGACCATCAGAAGAGATCGTCACAGCGGGCATGGGTACAACGGGGGCCACTGGTGTGGACTGGTGGGCATGTCTGTGCAGTGTCCTGGTGTTCACGTAGTCCTCATCGCTCTCAGGCGATTGGGGGTGATGCTGGGCAGCCTCATAGCTATCCGTACGGCGTTTGACGGCTGGAGCTGCTGCTGCTGTCGCGGCTGCGGCTCCAACGCCGTAGTTCTGCATTTCAATGTATTGCACTGGCTGCGTCGCGAGGGTCGCGGGGCGTGCGTTGTTGTTCTGCGTGTAAAACCTTTCCTTTGCTTGTCGTCGTCAACATGCAAAAGAAGAATCTACACAGGTGCAACAAGCAGGCGGGGAAGGGGATCAGGAGAACGTACAATAACTAAATGCGCAACGTAATACAGCGAAATAATGTTTTTGCGTAAAAATAGCCTTTGTTTGGTATAATGTGACCGCGAATTAACCGATAAAATATACCGCCCGACCCACGTAAATATACCATGCGATTATCAGAATATACTGACGGACACGACAAGATGCGTTGATATTTCTCGATTTTGATATTCGGTCCAATATTATTAGCAAGTCAAGACTCTCAGCGCTGAGAATATATTTTTCTACGATTAATAAATCAATCAAAATCAAATCAGATTTGCCAATCATAAGTACTTTTCTTTAAGCCTAGTACTCAGATCCAAAAACTGTTTGCTAGCAAACAAATGTCATATATTCTTCTAGCGACCAGAGGTGTGCACTGCATTCCGTACGGTTACACTGCTCAGACAGCTGCTAGGTTTTGTTCAAAAATATTTTAAAATTAAGGAACTGTGAAAATTTAGGAAAAATTAAAAAAAATTTAAAAATTAGAGCAAACAAAAATGTTTTTATTGCTCATTGACAAAAGCTGACTGATATGAAACGAAAAATTATAATTGCTTGCTGACAAAAGCTGACTGATATGAAAGCAAATATTATAATTCCTCGCTGACAAAAGCTGACTGATATGAAAAAAAAATTTAATTGCTCGCTGACAGACTTATATGAAACGAAAAATGTAATTGCTCACTGACAAAAGCTGACTGATATGAAACGAAAAATTGTTATTTCTCGCTGACAAAAGCTGACTGATATGAAACGAAAATTCTAATTGCTCGCTGACAAAAGCTGACAGACATGAAACGAAAATTCTAATTGCTCGCTGACAAAAGCTGACTGATATGAAACGAAAAAAATATTATTGCTCGCTG